TTGGCATTTTCATTTTAGTGTTTGAGAGTGACAGCAGGGTATGGTGGTGCACACCTGTCATCTCAGTGACTCAGGCTGAGGCTGGAGGATACAAGTTCGAGGCCAGCCTCAGCAATTTAGTGAGACTGTCTCAAAATAGAAAGGTCTGGGGATATAACTCAGTGATAGAGTGCCCCAGGGTCCAGTCCCCAGCACAGGGGCAGGGGGTGGGGGACAGCAGGGCTGAAATTCTGTGCGGTTTACAGGGCACCTAGAAAGCTTTATAAAGTGCTTTCCCAGAAGTAACTTGGCGGGACCCTTCTGTTCTCACTGTGTTGCGGTGTGGAAGTTGGCGCACCTGATTTTCCACTTCGTCTGCTTGCTGGGCCCAGCGGTGGCCCACAGCCTCCGCTCTTCTCTCACTGGTCTCCCGTAGCTGCCTCCCTCTGATCTCCTTTTCCCTTTACATCTGGTGCCCTCCACTCTGTTGTGGATGTGCGTCCAGGTGCCTGCTGCTGTTTGGTGGCCGTGTGTTCCAACTCCATCTCCTCCACCCTGGAGCGCCTGTGCCCACTGCTGTCACCTGCACTCTGCAGTCCTTTGTGGGAGTGTGGTTTCTCCTGTGCAGATGCCTGGCCCATGCATTCGGCTCCCTCAGGAACTGCACTTGGGTGTGGGCTGGCTGTACCGTCTACTCTCCCCTTCGTAGCCATTTTGGTCGATGTGAGTTTGGATGGATGAAGGTTGGATTTCCTCAGTTACTGAGGGTATAACTTGCTACTAACATTGTATCATTGATCAACAAACTGTCCCCAAGGGGCATAAGAAACAGCAGTGAGCAGGGCACCTTGTCGCATACTATAATCCCAGCAGCCAAGGTGACTGCAGTAGGAGGATGGCAAGTTTGAAGCCAACTTCAGCAAAAAAAAGTGGGGGAAGGGCTAGGAATGTGGCTCATTGGTTAAGTGCCCCAAGGTTCAGTCCCCAGTACCAAAAACAAAGGAAAAGGAAAAAAAGAAAGAAATAGCAATGATCACAGTGCCTGTGGCAGCAGGTAGAGCCTGGGCATGGGTTCTGAACAGGGCAGTGTGGGTTTGGCTGGGACCTGTACCTTACTGGTGTTTTCTATTTGCCCTGCCCCTCCACGGGCCTCTGCTCAGACTGGAGCTTTAAGCATGTTCAGGCTGCCTGTGAACGCTTTAGAATTGTTATTGGCTTTTATATAGCACGCAGTATTTACGATGTAATTTATGGTCAGTTAAACTTTATAAAATTAAGATTTGAAGTATTCATAAAATAACAGACAAGAAAACTGAGGCATAGAAGTGATTTGGTGGAGACCCTACCCAGAGCCCACAATGTGCCAAGTGAGGCTGTTCCTCCTTTGGGCTGTGTACCCTAAGGACTTGCTGGGCACTTTTACGTGACACTGCTTATTTGTCTAGGTCACATCCCCTCCCTGCCAACTTGAGTCTTGGGTCTGAGGCAGCTCTGAGTTTCCTGGCCTCCCGTCGTGCTCACCTTGCTCTGTGRGGTCTGCTGGCCTCATCTGTCTGGAGTGCTGGCACAGGGCAGGTGCTTCATAGTCAGCAAGGGTAAACCCTGCCCAGGCGGTGCCAACCCCAAGGCCCTGGCCTCTCACAGATGAGAGCTGGGCCTGACTGATGCCCTGGGGAGCTGGCTGTATCAAGCAGGTGACAATTGGGACTACTTTGGGACTTAGAGAAAAACTGCCACTGGCAGTTTGATGAGGCTAGGGTGACTTGATTGTGGTGGTGGTGGCTTGGTCGATGTGCTCCAGAGACTCACGTCACCAGTTAGGAGCTTCGAGATGTCCCCCTGATGTTCGGATAGCTCTTCAACACTGCCTGCCTCCACTCGGCCTGCTGCCTCCTGCTGTCTGTGTGTGGGTGCTGCATTTGTTCTGGTGGCATTCTTCACCCAGGCAGTGGTCAAGTCTGACCTGGCCTTCTCGGCCTATGTCCCCCCTCCGGGGGTCTCACTGTGAACGTTTCATGTGCCCTCCAGCAGGCCCCCCTGCGCCAGGTTTCCATCTCCCCCAGACTTAGGCACTGCTGAGATGCCCCTGGAGTGGCTCCTGTGGGCCCCAGCCCCTCTGCCCCATAGCGATTTTATCATCCCTACAGTCCTTAAACCTTTGTAGCCTTTCGCCTTTTGCATATCTATATCCAGGAGCACCCCTTCACCTGCAATTTTGCTTCCCACAATTTGTTAGTCTGAAAATATTAAATCAGAAATACATGGTGCTTTAAATTGCGGGCTGTTCTGAGATGCTGCYCTGGACATGAGTCATCCCCCGCCCAGCACAGTTGCTGCACATGCTGCCCACACCACAGCATCAKGGTTATACCATCCTCCTGACATGTCATCACAAGGTCAGCAGTCCACCGCTGTTTCTTGGTGCCTGTRTCGCCTTCCCACATAGGCAATGTACCAGCTCACATCCCCAGGAAAAACAAGGGGCAGTGCAGGAAGACAGTGGAGAGAAAGACCACATTGACGTGGCTTTATTGTGGTATGTTGTTACAGTTGGCCTAGTTGTGGGGGATAATCTCTGGGTGCCTCACCTACAAGTTGAACTGTGTCACAGGGGTGTGCGGGAGGAAGGTGTGTGTATTGGGTTTTGTTCTAACCTTTTTCAGGCATTCACAGGCACTCCTGGAACATAACCCCCCAGTTAAGGGGTGACTCCTGCATACACACATGCCTGTGTGAKTACCTGTGTGGTTATAAATGTTTTTTATGTGCTAATCAGTTGTGAACTGCTTAAGTCCAAGAGAATATTTTCTTTTTGGATATTTAATAAGTGTTGAATAAATAAACTCAAAAGTGTTTTTATTAGTACTCATCCTCCACTGGGACCATATTTCAGATGTTTGTGCCTTGTCTTATAGTCATTGTCCAGTTCTGTTTTTTTCTTTGGTAGCATTGGGAATTAAACTTTGGATTTTTGCTTAGGACCTTGCTAAGTTGCTGAGGCTGGCCTTGAACTTGCGCTCYTCYTGCCTCAGCCTCCTGAGTTGCTTGGCTTACAAGTGTGCACCACCAKGATAGGCTGGAGATATCTTGACTTTATCTTGTTAAAGATGTAGAATTTCCTTCCTGGTATTTCTAGTAGCATGTGGAGAAAAGATAAAGTTGCTTTCCAAGACTGGTATTGATCTTCTGTTGGGAAGGAACTCCTCCTTGTTTTAAATGTCTCTTGAAAAAAGATTTTTTTTTTTTTTTAATTTTAAGATGTGCTGTGAAACATTCCCGAGTCTCACCCGTGCTAGGCAAGCACTCTACCACTGAGTCCCAACCCCTGCCCAAAAAAACCTTTTAATTTCCCCCTCTGGAGTTTMCCGAGTTTTGAATGCTTTTGAGTCTGTGGTAAGGCTGAGAAAGTGAAAGAGCAGACATTGGCAGGGGTCATCAGCTGGCATCTCACCACTTGAGCCTCATTAGTGCACGTGAGGCATGCACACTTGTGAAAGTGGACTCTGGCTGTCTTGACACTTGCCTGCTGGCCACTGAGCCTCTCAAGCAGGGACACTGCCCGGAGGCAGCGCCATTATCACTCCTAAGGAGCAGACCTCATGCAAGTTTCTCTGCCTGCTTTCATTCATAGCTCTGTGTATCAGGACCCAAAGCCCACACATAGCAGTAGCTGTCATGTGTCATTCAGCCCTCTGCCTTTTTTGTCCTTTGTTACTGACACATTTGAAGATCCATGCCAAAATACGGAGCAAGTGATGTTTATCYCACCAGTGATGATACTCAATTGTGGTGATGACTGATGCGACTGATGCTTCCATTTGTGAAGGACCCCCCATCCCCGCCACAAATTAGTAGCACTGTGTGGGCTAGTGGTTGGAGGTCATGTGAGTGTCTTGTTTTCCCCAAGCCATTTTACTGTTTGGTGTCCCCGAGGAGCCCTCCCCGGTTGGTTGCTGTGTTAGTGGTTAGGGTCGGGGTTTCTAATTGTGGTTTCTTAGCGTTTACTACCTGATGTTCTTCAATGTGAAAAGCTTCTGTTTATTCAAATAGACTTTATCTCTAGAGCACTTTTAGGTTCACAGAAAATGGAGTTCCTGTGTGCCCCTGCCCCTAGAGCACAGCTCCCCACTGCCACCACATCTTGCCATGGTGGGAGCATTTTCTGTGAGTGTGTGTCCTTATCACCAAAGTCCCTTCTGTGGATTTGGACAATGTATAATGACCTCATTTTTTAATTACACATAACAAGCAGGGTCGCAGTCAGTAGTGATAATGGTGATCGCTGCAGTACACCTGTGCACTGCCAGGGAGCATGTAAAGCATCATTTATTTGTCATTGACCACTCAAGGTCTGTGTTAATCTTAAGAAACAAACTTTGCAAAAAAGCTGAGAAGTTGAAGGACCAACTCCTYAGGTGGTAAGACTAGTGTCAGGAATTGGGGTTTCAACCAGCACACTGCAGAATCAGCAACTTGCTGAGGGCCAGCTGGGGTTCACTGGGTTGGCAGGACACCGTTATTTGAGGACCTGGAGAAGTAGGCGATAGCCCTGGCCACTCAGCACCTGGCTGTGGAGGGAAATAGTGTGTCCTCAGTGTTGCCCCTCAGCTTCAGTAGTCCCTCCTCCAGATACACAGTGTTCGCTCTGGACAGTTGGCTTCTGTATTTCCTAGTGCTGTCACGGGCATTGGTGCAGATGTTAGGATGTGAACATTTTGTAGATGCAGATTGCAAGGGACTGGGRGAGAGCTCCTTGTTTTTTGAAGATGCACTGTTTGGATCTGCTTATCCAGAAGTGCACATTTATTTATATTCCATATTTCTGTCCTCAAAATCAGGCACCTTTTTGATAAGTCCTATTTATAATGTTCTCTAAAATGTTCGATTCTGATTGCATGTTAGAGTGGAGTATTGATCTAGGCTGCTGGCACGTGGCTTAGCTGAGTGGAAGGCAGCCTGGCGTGGCCTGCTCCTTGGGGACAGGCCTGTGGCAGACTCATCCTGTCTGTTTCTCCTCCTAGGTCCCGCGGCAGTTCTGGTGGCCATGGTTCCCGTAGCCAGAAGGAGCTGCCCACAGAGCCCCCCTACACAGCCTATGTAGGAAATCTACCTTTTAATACAGTTCAGGGCGACATAGATGCTATCTTCAAGGATCTCAGCATAAGGAGTGTACGGCTAGTCAGAGACAAAGACACAGACAAATTTAAAGGTGAGTTTGGGAGGTCTTTATTATTTACAATGGGGGTGGTCAGTGAAGATGTGTTAGTGAACCAGAACACCCCACTCGCCTGGTCCAGGGAGCTGAAGGGAGCATCCCTCTTGAATTCAAAGTTCCTCAGTTGCACTGTGGAAAACCTGTTTTCCACTTGATCCAGTTTGTAGAAGTATGTGGCTCACTCCCAGATGGGTCTGTCTGACAGGAGAGCAGGCCCATCTCTGCCCAGGAAAGAACTGGGGAGCTGAATCTGAGGATTTTGAACACATTTTCCATGGAGACTAACTCTCAGTTTCTTGGCCGTTTTCCTATAATACAGTTATAAAACCCTCAAGGTAATGTGGTGCTGGCAGTGTATGCAGGTAGTCCAAGCACGTGTCTGGGGAGGGCTGCTGGTTTTAGATGAAGTCGATGTCTGCAGACCAGCTCTAAGGTGTTTGTGTAGAGATGTGTCCTGCCTCTCCAGGTTTCCAGGAGGGAAGTGTGCCCAGCCTAAGTGCATAGTGCCAGGTATGAGGACATTGGGCCCACACTGTGCATCATGGAAAGTGCAGTGTGACTTATGATCAGGAGCAGGATAGGAAGAGCAAAGGGCTCATCGGTCAGAGTGGTCTTGGGAAGCCACAAGTAGCATATGATCARACTGTCAGTTGAGCTTGGAAAAGTAAGTCCCACCCAGCTTACCCACTGAGACATGATAGTTATTCAGACTGGGGTAAAAACTGTGCGTGGACCCAGCCGCACTCTGCRTGGCATGAGTCTTGGAGTTTGTCTTGAAATATTGTCATGGCCTCTGTGAGCCGGGTGTGGTTTCCTCCATTGTTTTCTGTATTGGATCCACTCGGGGGAGAGAAATGGGGGGAGCCTTTGAGTGTGGGCAGGATGCTCTTGACACAGGCCACAAAGGGGAGAAACCTGGGCTCAGCCTTCAAAGTTCTGCCTTCCTGTGGAAGTGCCGTCCCTACCCGGTGTGAGGGTTCTCTGGGGAGGTATGCAGGTGCAGTGTGAGCCTGTGGCCCAGGGGTGCTGAGCCCAGATTTACACTCCAGACATCAGGGAGGGGCAGTATTAGAGTCATGTCAGTCACCTGTGCTTGGGCTTAAACAGCAGGTAGCTTTGTTGCCAGGGATGCATTTTTTGGCATTGTGAAACAAACTTTATATCCAAGTAGAAAGTTAATGGGCACCTCAAACCTCTCCTGCAGAGCACTCTAGGTATTAATTTGAATCTATGAAATCTGATCCCAATTACAGTATATTAAATGAAGTCTTCCAGAAGTTGAATGGCTCTGCGGTGACCCGAGAATGGTTTGCCGTTGTAATTAGAACATTCCGGGAATCTCTGCACAGACATGGCTGCCATTTCAGTGCCCGTTAGGTTGGCATTTTCTAACTGACAGGATATAATGGAGAGGGAGGAATGTCCAGGTTCCATTTCTTGGAAATGAAATACCCTCATTCAGAGTCTGCCTAGCTTGATGCCACAAAACTGGTCATTGTGATGGAGGGAAATGGTACCGGTGGGGGGATAGCAGATCCCTAGTCCAGAATTCCCTGAAGAAGGCGGGGCTTCTTTTCTCTTCCAGGATTCTGCTATGTAGAATTCGATGAAGTGGACTCTCTGAAGGAAGCCCTCACGTACGACGGCGCAGTGAGTGCCCTGGGTCCCCTGGGTCGCGCGAGCAGCGGGGACTTGTCTTCTTGCTGATACTTACACTATTTTCCCCTTATCATTAGCTGTTGGGTGATCGGTCACTTCGTGTGGACATTGCAGAAGGCAGAAAACAAGATAAAGGTGGCTTTGGATTCAGGAAAGGTGGACCAGATGACAGAGGTGATTGGTTCTTCTGAGACTGAACRTGATGCTTGCTGTGTGCCCAGCAGTTGCAGCTCCTGACCGCAGGACGCTGTCTCCTAGGCTGATAGGTCCTCGTGAGCTTTAAGACCGAGCGCCAAGTCTCAGGAGTAGCGGCTCCTGCGAGCCTGGGGTTCTCTGTTGGCAGCAGGACTCTTAAGTGGTTCCATTGCACCTCCCAGCTCAGGGGTTGTACGTCTTCCAGATAAGTTTTCCATGTTTGTGCAGCAAGGTAATGAAACGACCTCAAYTTTATCTTTTTTGTGTATCCTCAGGAATGGGTGGCTCTCGAGAATCTAGAGGTGGCTGGGATTCCCGGGATGACTTCAATTCCGGTATCAGTATTTAAAGCCTCACGCTTCCCCTTCCCAGCAGCCTCTGCTGCTGTGCTCCCCACAGTGGCTGGGCCTAGCTCCCTTCACRGACAGGACCTTCCTGAAAGGCACACAGGAAGCAGTGAGCCTCCCTGTCCCTGGGAGCAGAGCTGAGAGCCCAAGTGGAGGGCAGGCCAGGCCCATGCCCCTGCCATTTGCCCACCTGTGCCTGGTCGGCACRGCCCTGGGTCTCTGCCATTGGCAGTCTTCATCTGCTCAGGCACTGACCCGGGGAAGCTCCTCACTGGGTTTGTGCATGGCACGAAGAGGAGTACAGTTGCTTCTAGAAATAACATAGTTAGAGGTTCTGGAAATGGCAGAAAGCCTCAGAACTGTGGTTCCTGGTGGCTCTTCAGATGGCAGAAGGGAGTTCGGAGGTCTGTGTTTTCCTCACAGGGCGTGGGGCTGCCGTCCCTTGTGCAGACATCTGCCCTAAGCATGCCCACCTGCCTAGGGAGCCAGTGGTGGCTGAGCTCAGGAGGGCGTTGCCTGGTGGAAGGGTGACCTCCCTCCCTGGGACTTGACTTCATGTTGACCTCTGGTTCTATAATTGTGGAGGACAACACAGATGTGGTGAGAACATTCGCAGTGGCGGAGGGTGGACAGGAGAGCAGGCCTGTTTTCTTTCCCACAAACTTGAGGTGCACTCTGCACACCCCGCTGTGCAGCATGGGAACCCCAGCCCCTACCCCAGCCTCCCCTCACCTACATAGAGCTTAATAGTCACAAGCAGGGGAGGGACTGTGGGCAGCTGTCGTCTGAGTCTGGGAAGTTTTGAAACTCACTTCCAGCACTGCTTGAGCTAAACAGATAACGACATGTTTGTTGAGTAACTTAGTTCTTGAAAATCCTGTATAGCCAGTCAGAAATGAGCTTATTCATAAAAGTACAGTATCATCCAGTAAGTCTGTAATTTTATGTATAAGCTGGTCTCTGACTGAAGCACGCAACAGAAGTCTCCTCAGAGCCAGCCCAGAGCAGGGTCAGTGGCCCCGAGACCTGCTGAAACAGCACCATGGGCCCAGCACTCTCGGGGGACTAGCTCTTCCCTGCGAGCTTGGTGTGACCCTGATGCCCAGGCAGAGACGCAGTCGGAGCCACTGCTTCACCACTGGCACTGTGACATCTAAAACCCGGTGGGAGCGCTAAAGAGAGTCGTGGCTAATTTGATGCTTTATTCCTTACCYGCAAAATAGATCTTTTTTACTCTAATAGAATTATGTTTTTTTWAAAAATGACATGTGCTCTTGTACTTTTCTAAAAGCCACGTGAAAATTAGCAATACAGAAAAATACAAAAAAGAACAGCAAAGATAGGTGTAGGGCTGGGAGTGCAGAGCACAGGCGTCCCGTGTGCCCGGCCCTGCGTCTCCTCACTGGCACACAACCGCTGGGACCAAGCACGGGCCTGTGTGCTCAGCTAGGGAGACCACTCCAGGTTTTCATGATGGTGTTTTTCCTAGAAATCCATCAGCATACTTGATTAAAGATGCTTCCTGGGGCCAAGCCTTACCTTCCTTCCTGTGTAATTTTCATAAGGGATTTTGAAGTGAGGCCTGGTATTAGTAGAGCTGATTTTGTTACGCTGCTGTGCTTTGACACACCCCTGGACAGAGTARCTGTTGATTTGCCTCATTGAGGTAGGTATGAACCCATCACTGGAAGCAACACTTTTGGGGGGGGTACTGGGGATTGAACTCGGGCACGCAACCACTGAGCCCCATCCCTAGACCTATTTTGTATTTTATTTAGAGACAGGGTCTCACTGAGTTGCTTGGCACCTCGCTTTTTGCTGAGGCTGACTTTGAAATGGCTATCCTCCTGCCTCAGCCTCCCAGCCACTGGGATTACAGGTGTGCGCCACCATGCCCAGCAGAGCAACACATTTTCAAATTTCATGTTAAAAGGGTTTAACTTGCACACACACATGGAAAAGTTGGGTTAAWTGAGGGAGGGTGGGGTTAAGCATGTGATATTGATTAGGCTTGGATTGGGGGTTTTGGTTTGGTTTAGTTTTTCTGCAGTGCTGGGGATCCGAACCCAGTGCCTTGTGCATGCTGGACAACTGCTCTGCCRCTGTGCCACCTCCAGGCCTCCGAGGAAGCTTAATCAGATAATATGGTCCTAAGAGCTTCATAAAGACCTGAACGCTTGACWATAAGCATCCAAGTGTGTTTTCTCCACAGCCCTGTTCCTGATCCTGTTGTTTCAAATCTATTTAGAATTGTCTTCATCACACATTTCGTTAAAATTCACGTTGTGCAACTCAGTCTCTGAACTGGATTTTGGATAACTCARTCTGTTTCCAAAATCCATGCCACCCTTAAAGAACAGAAAGGCTGTACTGTGCAGATGGATGGGTCTTATTGGTTAAGATGGCTGTGTTCTGTAAGCCACTGGGTCACTGAAACAGCCAGGACCGAATCAGGACTCCTTCCATAAGTGCAGGGTTGGGTCCCCTGAGCCTCGGTCCCTGCGTCCTAGGCAGTGCCTAGCCTTGTCTCTGTGTGCTCTGTTCAGAGCACTCGACCATGTAGCATTGCTGCACTCTTCGCACCAGAGCTCTGTCACACCTGTGGTACCCAAACCTGAATGGCCTGTCTGAAGTGGCCTCCCTGCCCCTGGGACACTAGGCAGTGCTGCACTGCTTGGGGCTGTTTTAAACCTTAAGATCACCACTTCCACTTTATTCTTTATTTTGAAACAGGGTCTCACCAAATTGCTGAGGCTGGTTTTAAACTTGTGGTTCTCCTGCCTCAACCTCCCTGGTCGATGGGATCACAGGCGTGTGTGTATCACAATGCCCTCCAAGAGCTGCCAGTTTGATTTGGGGATAGACATAAATTCTAGCAAATTAATCTGGATAGCAAGAATTGTTCGTATGTAGACTATGCCTGGGTCCCCAGGGGCCTTAAAAATGAGTTCCTTAGAACACTGAGCTGCAGCCCATCTGAGGGTGAGTGGAAGCCCCCACTCACTCAGGCAGGTATGAAGGGAGGGTACTGACAAGCGCCAGGGGAGGGGCTCCAATGCCCCTCGGAGTGAGGAGCCTCCTCKGATGGCCTTTCCTTACTACCTCACAGGTGCTTTCCTTCTAGAACAGTCCACACTAAATTGTAGCAGAAATAGGGAAATGGGACGGATCACCCAGAGACTTGGTATTTTTGTCTTCGTGTAGCTTTTCCCTATGATTTTTGTGTCCTAAAGCATTTAGCTTTTAAATTTTGGGTTTGTCTTATTTAAATAACTAGAAACCAGACCAAGACCTGCTGTAGTCTCATGCTATTTTTCTACTTTTCTTTCAGACTGAGAATTTAAAGAGCTCATTTTATTCTCCTCTGTGAGTCTGGGTCTTGTTTTATTTTAAGTCTCTTAACTTGTCATTTGTACTTGTTTTCAGTATTCTTTATTTTGGAAAATCTTCAAATACTGGACAAACCAGTGAATCAGACATTAACTCAGAGTCTATTCGCGCACACTGTACACTTGCCCACGAGGCAGCAGTGTGACGTCACTCGTGTCCTGTCTCTCCCCAGGCTTCAGGGATGACTTCTTGGGAAGCAGGGGAGGCAGTCGCCCCGGTGACCGGCGAGCTGGTCCTCCGATGGGAAGCCGCTTCAGAGATGGCCCTCCCCTCCGCGGATCCAACATGGACTTCAGAGAACCAACAGAAGGTACGACGAGCCGTCTGCATGCACACCAACTGTCCCGCATAAATTTGTCCTCCAGCTTCACAGTTGTTGCCTGGGTCACCCTTTTGTCCTAAATAGTGCGTTTGCCTCCCGTAGACTGTCTGGCGACAGTATTCAGTTCTGTACAGAGGCTGTCAATTTTGGGAGACGGGCTGGGTGGCTGAGCACGCACCCGGAGGTAGGATGGAGCCCATTCTGCATAAACCACCTCTTCTCTCCCCCAGAGGAAAGAGCACAGAGACCGCGACTCCAACTCAAACCTCGGACAGTGGCAACGCCCCTCAATCAAGTAGCCAATCCCAACTCCGCCATCTTCGGGGGAGCCAGGCCCAGAGAGGAAGTCGTTCACAAGGAGCAAGAATGAGCTCACGGTTGGGAGGGAATGGGGGTGTGGGGGAGTTAGAGCAAGACCACAGCCTGGTGGCCCTGGACCGGCCGCCCTGCAGTCACCATTCCTGCGCCTGACATTGTCCTCCTTTCTTACAACGGAAACACAGAGCTTGTGACTGCATGTCAGCTGTTAACAAGTGGTTTTTAGTACATTCTTGGCTTTGCTCTGTCTCTAGTGCCTGTTAGGTGCTTCTTCTCCTCGTCCTTTCCTCCTCGTCCTCCTCTGTCCTCCCCCCTTGCTCCTTGTTCTCCGTACAGCACKCGGGGTCCGAGGGGTGACGCAGCGCCGTGTGGGAGCCTCGGCCAAGGGGCTGCTCCGCTGTCCCCTCACTTCCTCGTTTTACTTTGGCACTGGCCAGACTCCAGGCGTTCCCTTCGTTTTTCTCAGTGCTTCTCCTGCCCTGCATGCTGAGTTCTGTTGCTATGGCTTCCAGAAGCAGCTGAGGTGCGGCAGCTCCACCAGCCGCATCTCAGTTTGTATCAATCTGTGATCAGCAGACAAAATTGACCCTTGTTTTAAAACAAGGAAAAACACCTGTCTATCCCTGCAGGTTGCTTCCWGCTGCTGTTTAGAGGGGTCCCTGACAGTGCCCCCCTGGGGGACTGTCCGGGCCAAATGGGCTCATCTCTGGAAGCCTTGGAGGGAGGAATAGCAGGCGGTGGGCAGGCGCACGGTGACCGTGACCGGCAGTGCTGTGCTCCCAGGTTCTGCTGCAGCTCTTCCAGGAGTGTCCAGAGTCCTCCCTCCACCCCACCCCCACCCCCACCCCACCCCCCGGTGCTCGAGGCTCTGGGCTCTACTGGGTGTAGCGCTGACAGCTCGCCTGCACTGCTCCCTCCAGGCGGGGGCGCCATGGGGCTGAGGGGTGGTGCTGGCCAGCACGGCCAGGCCAACGCAGCTCCTCCTGTCCCCCTGTTGTCTGTGCTGTGCATCCCCTCGTGTYTCTGTTCCCCAGCACAAGCAACACAGAGGCTGCTTCCCACTCCCCCATGAATTCGCTGTGAAAGTGGGCCTAGAGCCCGGCCAGCACTTGACTGTTTCACTTGATGAATTGAAAGTCTTACATGCAGAGCTGTCAAGAGCCGCYGCGCCTTTGGTTGGCTGTACATGTCTGGGTGTGTTCTTGTCTGTGGGACAGTCTGTTGCTCCTGGGTACAGTGTTCAGCCCTCCCCTGGGGGTGTGGCATTAGGCAGTGGCATTTATGCTTGAACACCACTGTGTGAGCAGGTGGGACACTGGTTAGCTCCTCGAGCCCTAGGGAAGAGAGGCCAGGACTGCTGGGGGCCGAGGGGCAGCCTGGCCTGCGCACGTGATGTGCTTTGGTGGCCATTCCTGGTTAGCTGTCATCCTGGCTCCTTGTACCCATGACCAGGTCTCAGCAATTTACAGAACTCTCTCTCTTACCTTCCGCCTGTCATCCTCTCCGCTTCTGAGATAAGAACCATTTGTGTAACACAGTACTTACCTTAAGAAAGACATGCATTGTGCGGTTGTACCAACCTGATGCTCTCAGATGACCTACTTACATCCTCAGTGTGGAAAAGATAAAGAACAAAGCAAACTCATTAACCCTCCGGGCAGTCCAGTTGACTTTTAAATGTAAGAAAAGAGTGGAATTCCAAACACTTAACACATTCAGCTATATGACAGAAAGTAAATCTATGGATATGGTATTTTGTGAATGATCTTTTAAATAAAAGAAAACCTTACGTAATATTTAATGCTTGTCTTTACTTTTTTGAGTTTTTTGGGTTTTTTTTTAAGCTGCTTGTGAAATTAGCAGTTTTAGATTTGGGAGGCACTATCCAGGTTTAGGAGAGCACACTGTCAYGTAAGGTACAGAGCTAGTGAAGTTATTTTTAAAAGCTAAAAATGATGCCAGTCTCCCCCACCCCATGCTTAGGGCGTGTGCGTGTGTTTTAATAGTAACTGCTTGTAAAAGAAATCCTAGGTCCTCCCGCAACAGCGTGGGGCACCAGGACTCTGGGGGTGGAAGCTGTGGACATGGTGCTCAGCATACACTGCCCTGGGCTGGTTTTTCTGGTCTTCTTCCAAAGAGGGGTGGATGAGCCAGGGGGCGGGTAGGCAGGCACGCATTCCAGGTGGGTTTGGGCGGGGGGGGGGGGCCTGGAGGACCTGGGTCACTCCTCTGGAGTCCAATCCCTTTGTGGGTTGGGAGTGGGGGAGCGCAGCTCAGGCCTGCTCAGGCCCTGGGTCCCTCCCCAGGACCACAAGCCGGCACAGCAGTGCACACCTGGGCAACTCGGTGGGACCCTGTCTGAAACTAGGTCTGAGGGGTACAGCTTGGCAGTAAAATGCCCCAAGGGTCAGACTCCAGACCCACAAAGAAGAAAACCTCCATTGCTGGCCTCTTGGAGGTGGGTACAAACTGGTAACAGCTACGCCAGGGCCAGGGGTTGGCTGGAATTCRGCTTTTGACTTGCAAATTGGACTGTCCCATACTCTCTGACCCAGGCTGCCTCCCCAGCTGGGCCCACAGCAGCTAAAGCCWGCAGCCAACTTCCTGTGGATTCGTTTTGCTTGGCTTTGTGCAGTGCTGGGGTTAAGCCCAGTACCGCTGTGCTGCAGCCCTGCCATGAGACCAGTTGCCCAGGCTGGCCTCACCCTGGGGTGCTCCTGCCTCAACCTCCTCAACAGCTTGGGTGACAGGCACACATCCCACACCTAACTTTGTTGTCCATTTGAGACAGAAACTATATTCAGATATTGGATAGTTGTGCCTCAATTAGGGGACTGACCTGTAGCTACGTGACTCTGGGTGGCCGGTGGCAGTGCCTCAGGAGGGGAAATTCCAAATGCCTAAGCACAACATGTTCGTCTGTGTAACTAAGTTTAAGTACACCCAAAGAATAAGATCAAAAAGAGAAGAGAATGCATCTGGAACATAAGGGAATGTTCTAGATTCAGTTCACAGTGGGCATGAAGTACGTTTTCCTCAAGAAAACTGAGTTTCCAGCAGCCTTTGTGGAAGTTCTGACCCTGGGAGATTCCTGGCTGATGGATTTCTAGGAAAAACACCATCCATGAAAACCTGGAGTGGTGTCCCTAGCTGAGCACACCGACCCGTGCTTGGTCCCAGCGGTTGTRTGCCAGTGAGGAGACRCAGGGCCSGGCACACGGGACGCCTGTGCTTTGCACTCCCAGCCCTACACCTATCTCAGGGCAACTCCTGAGCCAGCGCCCAAAGGTCTCCCTGAGCCAGGGCCTGGACTTGTGCTACCCTCCTCCCCCACACGGTGGCAGCAGAGGCAGGTCTGGCTGCCCATCAGCGCTGTCCTGGACAAGATGACGGCAAAACCCAGGTTGAGAGACCCTAGTGGTGTCCCAGGGCTGGGGGCCTAGATTCTGAGAAGCCAAACTTGCTGTGGGTTGGGACCCCCTGTCCCGTGCCCTGKTGTCTGGCATCCGGGGTGCCGCGCACGAGTGAATCCCACCAATGAGAGGCCATCCCTGGGGAATGCGCCGCTGAACCCATCTGGGGGGGCACACAGGCAACCACCCTCCTTCAGGCCCTGCGTCCCCACGGGGCCCTGCGGGGAAGCTAAAGTCCTGTTCCCAGGTGGGCAGGCTGGGCCAAGTTGCCCACAGTGTTGGCTGCAAGCCACCGCCAGCTCTGGCTCAGTCCCCTCCAGGCCACAGGGGCTTGGGTGGTTGATGGCTGGGCCACTGGCAACTCCAGAGGATGTGCTCTCATGGCCCCCACCAGGGCCGCTGGGCACAGAGGTCGRTCACCTCATTCAGGGTAGCTGCAGGTCCTTGCCAACCGCCTGCGCCAGGCCTGGCATGGCTCTCTGTCCTCTGCACACATGTCCTCATCTGCTTCACCCTGGTATGCATGTGCCACACGTCTCTCCACCCGGTCCCCAGCGTCCCGTGTCCTTGTGTGTGTGTGGTGGTGTCTGAGCCTGCTCTCTGCCTCCCTGTCTCCACCGTCACCTAGCTTTCCTTCTTTGTTCCCGTCCCGTGGTGCGTCTCCTCTTTGGGTGTGACTGTGGGCCTTTGCGTGTTTGCCMGTGTGTGTCCGCGTCTTTCTGTTCCCTGTGCTGTGCCCTCTGTCCCTCCCTTTCTGTCTGTCAATAGCTGAGCCTGTCCGGCGAGCAGCGGATGTGAGCATGACTCAGTGGCTGACAGGAAGCCCGTCACCTCGCCTGCTGCCCGCCAGTCTGTGGCGTTGGCGGCAGTTCGGGCAGGTGTGCSGGTGCGTGTGTGGGCACAGGATGGGGTGGCTGCAGTGAGGTGTCCTGACTCTCAGGTAAGCATTTCCCAGGGTGCCTGGAGCCTGGCTGAGGCAGAGGCCCCGAGGCTGTCCCCAACCCCAAAGGAGCCGTTGGTGGCCATTGGGTGGGTTGGAGCAGACAGGGACACCTGGCGCCTCCTATGCTGGCACTTGTGGCCAAGGCCCTCAGCAGCTGTCCCTGTGGCTCCGGCCTCTTTCCTGCCCTCGCCGTCCCAGCCCAGCATGGCCCTGAGAGCCCCCAGGGTGGCTCTGTCACTGTCCAGAAGTGGGACTATCTCTGCTGTGGCACTCCAGGCAAGTGTGCCAGGCCCACCCTCCTGCAGCTCAGCCAGGGGCTGAAGGGGACAGCCGTGGTGGGCTGGAGGGGACAGCCGTGGTGGGGCTGRAGGCCTCTTTGTTCCAGCCTTGTTGATAGGAGGCTGTGGCTGGCCAGTCTCTCAGCCACCCTGCCGCCACCACCACCACAGCCCCTGGGACAAGGGCTGCAGGGCCCATCCACCCCTCCTCCCCCTGCCCCTACCTGGGCGGACGGCCTCCCGTGCAGAGGACTCTCCCCAGCCTCATTGGAGACCMAGGCTTATTTGGACGAAGAGACAGACCCCAGGGCAGCACCTGTGATCAAGCCGGCCCAGGGCCTGGAGTTCGGGTGCCACCTCTCATACTGCCCTGGCCCTCGGGCCCGAGTCCCCATCCCCAGCATGTGGAGCAGGCTGGGCGACTGGACGGATGGTGTGCAAGGCCCTTCCGGGTTGGGGGCCTTGGTGCTGCCGCCCAGCGCTTTCCCACAGCCGCTCTCGGCACACCCTGCTCATATGAAAACTGCCCACTTCCCTCTGCGCTATTTTGGCCTCCAGAGCCAAGGCCGGCCCCGCCCAGCCCCACCTGGCCCCTTGGGGCTTTCAGGGCTGCCAGGRGGGCCCCAGGGGCCCAGCCTGCTGCCTGCCACCACCTGCTCTGGAACCTGGACGGCAGTGGGAGGCGGAGGGACAGGGCAGAGTGTCAGCCTGGGGCACAGGGGGACCGAGAGGGAGGGGCATGCAGAGCCCCCGGCCCTGGGCTTGCACTCGGCCTCTGCCTCCTTGGACACAGTGCCCTCTGGCCCCGCTGCTCCCCTAAGGAGGAGCCTCCCTGGGGAACAGCTTTGGATCAGGCGGGTGCCCCAGGCATTGGCCCTGCCCCTCCCCAGGCCCCTGGCCCCTCACCCTCACGGCCCTGGGGGAAAGCTCCGACCTCCGGTCTGCAGGCAGCCAGGTGGGCAGGCTCCAGCACAGCTGCCCACAGCGTTTGCTGCAGGCCACCCTCAGCTTTGTGGCATCTCATACCACAGTCCTTGGGAACCACAGTGGTGACAAGAGTCCCAGTGGTCACAGCCGCCAAGGCCCAGCCCTGCACCACATGCATTGTCACAAGTCCAAGCCGGGCCTCGGGACAGACCTGAGGGACAAGTGTAGTTATCTCCCCTGTCCAATAGGTGAGAGGACATAGACCAGGCCTGACCTGTCCCTTGCCCAGGGCTGAGGGCACTCCACAGTTGTGCCCACCCAGGACAGTCAGCCCTGGTGGCAGAAGGCCATCTTTCCTGGGAAGGCCTGAGGTACCCCGGAGAGCAACAGCAGAGGTCAGGTCAGCTCCTGGGGTCTTAAGCAGACTGTTCCCTGTGCTGTGCCCCCTGTCCCTCTGGTGCGGGGCCCCCAGCCCACCAACATGCCTGTGTCCGAGTCCTAGGAAGCAGAAAGAGTCACTGTCCTAACCAAAGGACAAAGATGACTGGGATCAGCAAGGGAGGGCAAGCCAGGCAGCCAGAAGTAAGAGGGACCCGAGCTGGTGTCCCCTGGGAGAGCGGGCCCGGCCAGCAACAACGTGGGGAGGCCTGGGGCTGATCCCCATTTTGTAGATAGGAAACAGAGACCCGGAGTCTCTGGGCACAGGTGGGATTTGGTCCCAGGAATCCTCCCCAAGGCCAGGTGCTCTCGCTTCACACAGCTGGAGAAGAGGTGGCCCCGGCTGCCCAGGTGGAAGGGTGCCAAGGCACAGCAGGCCAGGGCAGGGGAGCCGAGYTCCCCTGGGCACCGCCCCGGGTGACGCGGCTTGTGCTGGTCACAGGTCTGTGGATCCACTTGTGCTCACTGACTCATGTGGCCTTGGGGCAGGCGAGGAGGCCATCGTGACGGCCCCCCTGTGGCTCAGGGCTGCATGGAGATTCCTCATCTTTGCCACCATCACCCCGGAAGCCCAGAGAGTGAGCGAGGAGACAGCCCTAGTCCCCAGCCCCAGCCTGGGGCAGCAGGCGGGTGGCACAGAGCCCTCTTMCATCCTGTGCCCACTCCAAGCCCTCCCCTGGGGACGAGGTGGGGAGAACTGGTGGGCACAGAGTGGTCATCACAGGGCTCARCCCCCTCAACTGTGTCCCTGCCAGTGCCAAGTGCCATTATAGTTCATTCCCCGTGTGGCCTGCACACCAAGGCCCAGAGGCAGGGAGGGTCACGGACTGTGTGGCAGCCCTCTGCCAGCTCCTCACCCCGACTGTCCTCCCTCCGCCCCTGTCACCCCGGCGCAGCCCACCGCCAGCTGCTGTGGGCAGCTGTTCCCTCCCTGGGGGCCCCTTCCTGACCTCCCTCCCGGCTCAGGGGGCGGACTCAGGATCACAGGTGCTCGGGGGAGGAAGTGCCATTCCCAGGTCCTGGGAGGCAGAGGAGGCCACGGGCGCCAGTGTGAGGGTGTCGGGTGGGTACCTGGGCTCTGAGAGGTGGGAGGAGGGGCCTCAGACCCCGGGTCCCATGGAGCCCAGGACAGTGGCAGGTCATGGCCAGCTGAGCCCAGGTTGGGGCCGGGGCAGCCATGAGTGGGCACTCCAGCCTGGGTTTCTCCGTCTGTGAATCGGGGTGACCTGTCCCTCGGGGCTGGCTGGGCAGGGGCAGGGGCTTTGGGCTGCACGCAGGTGCGCATGCCTCAGTTAGTGGGCTTGGTCCCCAGCTCACGCCGAGGTGACAGTGGCAGGACCTGGGGGCTGGTCCCATGGGGAACAGCAGCCCATCAGTCCCGGGAGCAGGGAGGGAAGACCCTGTGGCCTGGCCTCCGATGAGGGCTGTCCAGGCCCAGGGGGGCCAGGAGCCTGAGCGGGGGCCGGCCTGGCTCAGGGCCTGTTGCAGGCGCAGGTGGGTCACCAGGGCGGACATGAGCGCCGGGACCGAGCTGCTGTGGCCAGGGGCCGCGCTGCTGTTGCTGCTGGGGACCGCGGCCGGGCTGTGTGTGCGCTGCTCGCGCCCAGGTAAGGGGATGGGGACAGTGAGGATGTCCCAGAGACCTCCCAGGCCAAGACCTGGCTTGGCCCCAAAGCTGCCCTCTGAGGACCACAGGTCTGCTTCATGGGGGCTTTGGATTTGAGGGGTCAAGGGTGGTCTCTGGGCGGGCGAGTCACTCTGCACCAGGAAGGTAGCTGGGGTGCCCGGCGCTGCACCCTCCTCTCCTGACATACAGTGGCCCATAGCATGGCTCGCTGGGCCCCCAGTCCTGCCTGAGTCCTGCAGAGGGCACAGGAGACATGAGAGGAGGGGCCGCAGACCTGTCCCTGGGGCTCAGTACCCCACCTCTCCCACAGGGCTGAAGAAGGCCGAGAAGATCTACCAGCAGAGGAGCCTGTGAGTGGCCTCCCTGTGGGCACCCACCCCGCTCCTTCCTGCCCCTCCACCCTGGGGCGGGCTCCAGAGGGTCCCCAGCAGTCAGGGCAGGGGAAGAAAGGGCCCAGGGGCTGTCCAGGCCCCACCCCAGCCTGGATCAGGTAAGGCTTGGGGCAGGACCAGCCACCTCCAGCCTCAGAGGCCCAGGCCACCTGTCCTCGCCTCACTCTCATCCCAGCCCAGGAGCTCCCACTGGGCTGGGCAGAGGGGAGCCCAGCCTCACAGGCCATGGCCCCCTGGGAGAGCTGGGCACAGGATGTGAGCAAAGTCCCAGGCCCCCTGGAAATGCTCAAGGGGCTCAGGAAGGGGTTTGGCTATGACCCTTGGGGGATAAGGAAGGCCAAGGAGGGGGCAGGATTGGGAGAGAAGGCCCCATGGGGCTGCCTGCTGGATGCGGCAGAACCAGAGTGGGACTGAGACCCAAGAACAACCCTGGGCAGTAGCCTTCAGTGTCCTGTGATTGAGTAAGAGTGACCACAGACCACTCTCAGGGACAGGCACAGCCTGACACAGCACCACGACACTCATGGGCACACCTAGAAGAAATGCACACACAAACGCACACACACTTCCTCATTTCCCTTTGCAACTGAAAAACCACAGTGAGGTGTGGAAATAGAATCTCCCCCTCCTGCCCACCCAGAGCAGGGCCAGGCCTGTCTGGGCTCTTGTGGACACCTGATTTCTGAGCCATGTGTTTGCAGATTCCCCTGTGGCTCCCAAGCGCCTTCCTTCTTCCACCCTGCCCCCTCAGCCCCTGATGGTCTCCATCCCCAGTGGATCCCAGAGCTGTAGATGGCCAGGGCCAGAGGCTAAATGTCCTCGTGGCAGGGAGGGGGCACTCCTGGACTGTCCCCTCCCTGGAGCACCTTCCCCTGCCCTCCTCTCTCACCTCAGTCCTGCAGGTCTGCCCAAAGCAACTGTCACCAGGCCCAGCTCCCCAGTCACTTTCTCTAGTGGCTTTAGGACATCCCTCCTAAATCAGGCCTCCCTGATTTGGCTCCGGGTAGTCTGGACCAGGTAGCCATTCTGGTTCAGGGAAGGAGCCCTGAAACCTGTTTGAATAGATAACTGGCTCATCTGTAAGGGCAGCAACCATTTTCAAGGGTGCTTTATGGTCYAAGGTGGCAGCTGGAGCTCGGTCCCTCATCTCTGCATTCTAAGCAGTAGGAATAAAGAAGGGATAAAGATAAAAAGGGTGGACCCCAGCTGGAAGTTCTCTGTGTAAGGATACTTCTGGGGACCATCAACAACCTGGGCATGCATCTTTGTTGCCCGCAGATTAATCATGGCTACACCTAGGTGTGGGAAAGGCTGGCAAACAGTCTTCTAGATGGGCTCATGGCCCCCTAAACAAAATCAGCGTTCTGCAAAGGAAACGGGGAACCCTGTGGTGGGGGGGKACCTGGCTGTCAGCTGAGCGTTGATGTGGCTCACCAGTTATTGAGGAGTAAATGGCAGCTTTGAACATGCCCCGGGGGGACATCGTCTTGGGGAGGACAAACATTCCTAGGGCATCAGGCAGGGGGCAGGCTCTTGGTCACTGTGGCTGAAATCACTTCCCCTGGTCACTGACGAGTCCCTGAGCAGCCCAACCCTGAGGCCCTAGAAGCCTAGGGCAGCCTCCATAGCCCTGCCAGACACCCCTCCCCATCTCTGGGTCCTGGGGCCCAGCAGGATGTGGCCAGGTGGAGGCCCTGTTGAGGGACTGGTCTGGCTGGTGGTAGGCCCTGGGGCCCAGCAGGATGTGGCCAGGTGGAGGCCCTGTTGGGGGACTGGTCTGGCTGGTGGCTGTTTTCCATCCAAGGCCGTGGGAAGGGGGCCCAGTGGGAGGGGCGTGGCCTGCTGGTGGAGGCAGGAGGACCCTGGTCTGAGGCCTGGGGGGCAGCAGCCCCCGCYCATTGTGGAGTTCCCAACCCTGCGCTCTGTGTCCCCTCCCGATCTGTCCCTGTGTCCCGGGGCTGTGGGAGGCCAAGCCCGCTCAGCCAGCTCGCCACCTTTCCAGGCAGGAGAACCTGCAGAGCTTTGCAGTGGCGCGGACGTATTCCTGTGAGTCCCGGGGCGGAGGAGTCCTGGGGCGGAGGAGTCCTGGGGCGGAGGCTGGGCGTGGCCTGGACACACACCCCGGGGCCTGGCCAACACCTCTGTGCCTTTTGCAGTGGTCAGGCAGCCCTGGCCAGGGCCACCGACGGGCATGAACCCTGACATGGTACCCGCAAGGTAGGGCAAGCTTCCTGTCACAGGCCCTGGGCTCCTGCAGCCCTGGGGGTCCCCACTTGGCTGCAGCTGGGCCCAGACCTCACTCCCTTCCCAGGCCCCAGAGCCCCAGGGCTGGACTCTGAGGGCTCCACCCAGGGCTGTGGGGCTGTGGCCTCCAGACCCCCGGAAGGCCCGGCCTCCCTCAGTGCCCCCCCCAGACCCCGCCTGTCCCATCCCTGCAGGAATGACAAGCTGCTGCACTTCTCCAGCCCCCTGGACGGTGAGTGACAGCAGAGGGGGGAGAGGGGAGCCCAGCGAGGGACTTGGGCCAGGTGGTCCCTCCTGGGACCCTCCTGTGCAGGAGTCCTGCTGACCAGGGCCGTCTTCCCAGGAGGCACTGGAGCTGGGGCTGGGGCTGATGGCACAGGGGACAGAGCAGTGCCAGGTGTGAGCACAGGGATGACCAGGTTGGGCAGGGGCAAGGTCAGCAGGGGAGGACAGCCTGGCCTTTCTTCCAGATCCCGTGTCCCCCAGGTACCAGAACTTCAGCAAAGGTGGGTGGCTGGCTGGGGGCGGGGGGTGCCCAGCCCGGGGCTCAGGCCTGACTCTCTGCTCCTCTCCAGGGGACGGTCGGGACTCCGATGCAGCATACATGTGAGTGGCCTCCCCTGCCCTGGACATGCCTCCCCTGTCCCCCTGCCACTGCCCCCCCCCTTCCTTGCCTGTGAACCGTGAACTGCTTCTACCATGGAGGAAGCGCTGGGCAGGGTTGGAGGGCACTGTCTCCGTTCAGGTGACCATGGGAGAGGAGGGCCCTCAGGTGCCTCTTCTTGTCACCAATGTGCAAACTGTGGCCYGGGCAGGTGGGGACTTGCCAAGGGCCTAGCAAGGTGCCTGGAGCCTGGCTGCCACCCCTCARGCCCCAGGGTGACGCAGGTGCTCAGGAAAAGGGGAGGGAGGGATCCGGGGTTCCTAGGAGAGTGATGGCCAGAGCTGCCCCAGCCCCGCTGTCCCCCGTGGGGTCACCCTACAACCTATGCTGCGTCTGTTTTCTTTGCCAGAGACCCCATCGCCGCAGACTACTACAATTGGGGGTGCTCTACGAAGTCCCCAGAAGGTTAGGTGAAGGGCGGAGGGTGCAGTGGGGTGGGCACTTGACCTCAGAGGCCACGGTCCAGGGCAGGGCAGGGGGAGGGAAGGACAGGGAGGAGGCTGGAGTGGGTCTGGAGATGTGCAGAGGCTGCTGGGGAGATGGGGCAGCCACAGAGGGTGGGGATGTGGGCAGAGCGGGGGCAGGGGAGGGCCACAGTGGGGAGCAGCAGGGAGCCAGGGAGGGGGTGAGCAGCCTGACTTCCCAACTCCCAGGGYGGGGGGCACCTGGTGAGCACTGAGGGCCCCCAACAGGACGCTCGCCCATGCCAATGTGGGGTCCACTGCACACTTCTGAGGTTGGGGGGCTTGTTTCTTGGTGTCCATTCATCACAGATGGACGCTGGGAGAGGCAGAGGCCACAGGCCTCCTGGTGCAGGCTGGGTTGCCACAGCAGACTTCGTCCCCAAGCCCAATGACCTCGGCCTGTCCTACCCTATCAGAAGGGTCCAGCCCCTCCAGCAGCCAGGCCCTGCTGCCCCCCTCCCGCCCCCTGGCCCCCCTCCAGCTTCAGTCCTCCTCTCAGCCCTCCCCATGCATCTGGCTGTGCCCTCCGGAGACAGGGAGGACGCCTGATGTCCTGGGGCCCCAGCAGACACTGGCACGGGGGGAGGAGACCCGCCTGACAGGCCACGTGCCTGCCCTCTCTGGCAGATGACGATGATGCCACCTCCTACGAGAACGTCCTCATCTGCAAGCCCAGAGCCCTTGAGTCAGGTGAGGCTGCCCCACCCCGAGGGCTGGGCCAGGGCAGGGTGAGTCCTCCGCCAGGCCCCGCCTGGCCCTGGCTGAGGTCCCTGCTGCTGGGGGGCTGCCATCTCTCCATCTCTGGTGCCTTGGGTGCCCCTGTGTCCTTCGAGGCGGCCCATGAGCTCCTGTGCCTCGGGGGAGGGAGCAGGGGGATCCCTCCCTGGGTGGGCTCCTAGCACAGGCACAGGAGGCCTCTGTGAAGGGAGGCCTGCCCCTCACTGGCCCTTCTGCAGGTTRTCCCTGTGTCCCTGCGGGTGGCGAGGAGACTGAGGATTATCAGAACTCAGCATCCATCCATCAGTGGCGGGAGTCTAGGAGGGCCGTGGGTATGTGGCCAGGGACAGAGGCCCAGGGTGCATCTCGAGCAGGCTGGGGACTGGCCTGCAAGGGTGGATGGGGTGGACCTCCCTCCGGCCACACCCCTCATTCCACAGCAGAGCTTCCAGCACACAGCAGCCCCGGAGGCCTTGGTCCCGCCTGGACTCCCCTCCTGGGCCGGCTGCCCATCCAGCAGCATGCCTGGGCTCCGAGGGACTCTGGAGAGCCTTGGTGACAGACAGATGCATGCTGCGAGTCCCCTCCAGTGTGACGTCTCCTGCAAGCCACTTTGTGGGGTCTGGGGTCTGAGACTGGGCACCCAGCTGGGGACARTGGTAGTGTGTGGTGTGAACCCTCCCACAGCCACCTGTCCCCATCCACAGAGCAAGGCCCGATAGCAGGACATCCCTGTCCAGCAGGAAGCCCAGAGGAGGATGCCGGGGAGCCCGACTATGTGAATGGGGACGTGACCATGGCCGGGGAGGCCTAGGGGAGATGGGAAGGAAGGTATGGCACCCCCCAGATTTCTGGGGCCCGCCAGGCTCTGAGGGAAGGGCCCACAGCTTGGAGGAGCCCTGCAGGGCCATGGTCCGTGTCTGTGGGTGCTCAGGAGGGTTGGGGACCCTGCTCCCCCACTGGCTTCTGTCCAGCCCACCCGGTGCCCTGCCCTCTCCTGTGGGCCCAGGGAACCTCTCAGCCGCAAGCCCAGGTGACAGGTTGGTGGCACAGGGTCTGCGGCCAGGGGCACTGCAGCCCGAAGGGCCTCGCCCACTCTCCAGAGGATAGCAGGGACAGCAGGGGCAACCCCAGGTGCCCCAAGTCTGGGGGCAGGTGCAGGAAGGCAGAGGAGCTGGGCAGGGAGGTGCCTGGGAGGCGGAGGGCCGGGCAGGGCCAGAGGGTTGTGCTGCGAGTCCAGCTGAGGCCTGGTAGACGCAGGGACAGCAGCAGGTGGAGCCTGAACCCGACAGGGCTGTCCTGGGCCTGGCATGGRTGTGTCCTGAAGGATGGACGGACTGTGGCCTGGGGCCCGAGGGTCGGGGCTGCGGGATCGGCCTGAGCGGGAGGGAGGCCACTGCCGGCCCCCTGTGCGCCAGGGAGCGGGTCTGTGGGGAAGGCCAGGAGCCTCTGCACCCAAGTCCAAGGTGCCCGTTGAGGCAACATGGAGTGGGCAGGCCAGGAGCTGGGCCTGGACAGCCTTGGGGACTGTCACTGCATAGGTGGCTCTGAAAGCCAGATGACTGGCAGAGAGTCACCAAGAGAAGGAGGGCAGATGGGGACCCAGGCAGAAGGTGATGGTTAAAGCAGCTGCAGAGGCAGCTTCCCGGGGCCCTGAGGGTGACAGTGCTCAGGGAGGGGGCKGCCAGGCACAGGGGAGGTGAGAAGATGACAGAGCTGAGTGCCGCATGTTGGTGACAAGGGCTGTTTTGATGACATGGAGGGATACCTGTTTTAAGAGACTGCGAATGGCGATCATTCCAGAAGTTTCACTTGAAAGGCAGAGAAAGGGAACCAGGACTGGAGGTTCTCAGGGGGCATCTGGGTGTCCCCTCCAGGGGTATCCCTAACAGGGACCCAAAAAAGAAGATGCYATGACAGCATGTCTTTTGCTGACAGATGCCACCTCTGGGAGGTGTGGCTTGGGGTCAGGTGGAGGCTGGTGGAGGCTCTGCATCCTGATACAGCTGGCGGAGAGCAGGGACAGCAGAGCCAACCCGGGGTGCCCAAGTCCAGGCAGGAGAGTTCCACTGGCCCAGGGCAGCTGGGGGAGGTCCTTCCTGTGCAGAGGAAAGCACAGGACGGTCATGTGCACGTGAAGGCCACGTGCCCCATCCACCACCAGCACAGGCAGGACTCAAACTTAAAGCCCAGCTGCCAGCCAGCTGCAGGGGCACATACCTGTAATCCCAGCRGCTTGGGAGGCTGAGGCAGGAGGTTCGCAAGTTCAAAGCCAGCCTYAGCAACTTAGTGAGGCCCTAAGCAACTCAGTGAGGCCCTGTCTCCAAATTAAATATAAAAAGGGCTGAGGATGGGGCCCAGTGGCTAAGCGCCCCTGGGTTCAGTCCCCAGTACTCTCCCCGCACCCTGCAAAAAAAAAAACCCTGGCAGGACCCAGGGAAGGCCAGGCTGCAGCTGAAAGCTGAGCTTGGACCTGCTGTGGTTCCAGAGGAACAGGCACCAGCTGAGCCACGTCCTTCCTGTGTGACACTCTCCCTGTGCACTGCAGGAGACCAGGGAGCCCCAGACCACGGACGTGTCTGCTGTCCTTCGAGGGCCACTTTCCAGTGCTGCTCCACTTTGGGGTCCCTGCCAGGGCTACCCCTGGAGAGGACACCCACAAACGCCCCYGAGGACCTGCTGTCCATGGGGAACAGTTGTATGTAAATGGCCAGAGCTGCAGCCCCAGCCCCGTGCCYTCTCCTGACTGGGACCTCCTCGGGGCAGGCCTGCTGCCACCYGACTCCTGCGTGACAGCGCCAGGGACGCAGGGTGACAGCACCGTATCTGACACCATGCGACACTGGCCTCCATGTCCTTTCTGCTCTGGATTTGGATCCCAAGTTGCTTTTTCATGTGGCTTCTGTGACTTGCTGACTGTGACCGCAGGTCTGCAGTTAACTCATCCAGAGGGGACATACTGACATTCTGACTGCCAGCGGCTTCTCTCCAGTGAGGGCGCCCCCTCCCCTCTGCCCTTCAGTGGGGCTTCTCTTCCCTCTGGGCTTCTGTTCACTCAGAGATGAAGCCAGCATGGCGTCCCAGCGTAGTGTTGCTCTCTGCTGGGACACAGTGCCTGTGGTGGGGCACAGGGCTAGCACACCCAGGATCAGAGCTGGGTGGGGGGGCGGGYGGGCAGGAAGCTCTCAAGTTCAAGGCCAGCTTCTGCAACTGTCTCATTTAAAAAGGGGAGGGCGTGCATGGGAGCTGGGAGCCAGAACAGCCTCCCAAGGCTTCCCTCCTCAGCCCTGGAACCCTCCGGAGCCCTCTGCTCCTTGGCTGAGCTGAAAAGGGACCTTCTCAGGGGCCACAAATGCCACCTGTGGAACAAAGTGTGTCCCTCCACTGAATCCCCCCCAATAAACCTCTGTGGCTCAGGAGCAGTTCTCTGACACCTGCTTTTCTCTCTGGGAAAAACCTGAATGAAAGTTGCACCTGACTCAGAAGAAATGACCCTGAGGCCCAGAGAGGAGGGGCCGTGGACAGGCACTTGGACCCCATGACCAGCTCTCTTCCTAGGTGCCACCTTCAGTTGTTCCCAAGAAGAAATTAATGCCACAAGTTGGGAAGTCAGAGGAAACATCTAGAACCCAACTGTTGGCTAGTGAAACCCTTTCTCAAATACAAAGGGCTTGGCCGTAGCTCACAGGTCGAGCACCCCCAGGTTCAATCCCAGGACCAACCAAACCAGCGCATAAACAATGCCTGGGATTTGCTCCAAAATCATCTGGGAGAGGGCAGGGGACACAAGGAGCCTGGCATGTGTCAACAGCAGTGCTTGGGCAGGRCAATGAACATGAACATGGCAAGGGTCACAAGGCAGTCTCTTTTATTCTTTTTTGATACCAGGGAGCCACGTCCCCAGCCCTTTTTATTTCTGCAGACAGGGTCTTGCTGAGTTGCTTTGCACCTTGCTGAGCTGCTRGGGCTGGCTTTGAACTCGCAAGGCTCTTGCCTCAGCCTCCTAAATTGCTGGGATCACACCGGGGTGTGCAGCCCTGTGCCCAGTTCTCTTTACTTCTATATACAACTGAAAATTTCCATAATTAAGCACATGGAAGGCCCTGGGTTCAACCACAGCACCGCGTGCACCACACACACACACAAAGGGGAAAACAGTGCCTGTTCAGACACAGTGGCAGCCTACAGTATCCTGAAGCCCACAGGAGAGCACACATCACCACACAGGAAAGGCCACAGGGCGAGCTCTCTGGTCTGGGCCTTCTGCTGGATGACCCAGCCCCCCAAGCCCTCTCCCCTTCCCCCTCTCCTCTCTCCATCTTCTCTTCATCTCATCATTCCTCACCCACTTAGCAGAGCTGTGGTGGAATCAGGCTTTGCAGTGGGGGCAAGCAGGCCCCCCAGCCCACTCCCTGTCTGGATAGCACACCCCCGCTGTTCCGAGAAGTCTTAATTTTGCAGGAAACCACAGAAAACCCGCCCTCACCCACTGACCTGGGCCCTTCCAGCTTCTAGAAAACGGAGATTAGCTGGTCCAGCCCGTGACCTAAGTGGCCTTTCCACCTGGGGGGTGCCRGGGCACACAGAGGGGGCTGGTTCTCCGGGAGGCTCCGGGAGTCAAACGAAGCAGACACAGGAAGGCTTTATTAGCACCGGTCAGTGGGACAGGGGTCAGGGCCCTCCAGCTGCCCACACATCCGGGACCTGGCGCTCCTGCAGAAGTGGTCAGGGAACATGGGAGCAGGTGAGCTCAGTCGGAGGCCCAGCGCCATCGTGGGGCATCTCCCTGTCAGAAGGTGGAGACCCCAGCGTTGCAAGGGCAAGGCCTCTTCAAACTGCAGCTAACTGGCCACAGGGGCTATTGTCTTCTGACACAGCCTGGCCAGGAGCCCCGCCATCTGCAGGAGGGAGTTCACGCCTTCGGTGACTTTCATGTGCGTGTATCCGATTTCCTGAAAAACAAGCCCAATTCCAGTCTGGTTAACAGACAGGGAGGGTTTGCTGTTAGCCTGAGCTCGTAGCCTGCTCCGGCCGGGAGGGAGGCGAGGGTGTCGTGGGTCATGTGCAACTCAAGCTCAATTTACTTCCAAAAGGATGAAAAATATTTCTTTGAAAAATACTGTTAAGAAAAACATTTTTTTTACACGATACCTTTATTTATCTATTTTTAGGAGGTGCTGAGGATCAAATCCAGCACCTTGCACATGCTAGGCGAGCACTCTACCGCTGAGCCACACCAGCCCGTTAAGAAAATTTAAGAAAAAAAGAGAAAAGAAAAAGAAAAGCCAAGCTAGGAGATTCATAAGATCTCTATGTGACTCTCTGAGGGAGGACTCTCACCCAGGACATGCAAAGAACCCTCCAACCCAGCAACGTGCTGGGCCAGCTCAGTGGCAGAGCGCTTGCCTGGCACGTGGGGGCACAGGTTCCAACCTCAGCACCACATAAAAATAAAGTTATTTACAAAAAAACTCAAAAATGGGTAGATGTGCACGATGCTTTATCAGAGACCACAGATGGCCACTAAGCACCTGCGAGTGTGATGGACAACGTGTACCTGAGCCTGGTGAGGTTCCACAGCCCACCCACGGGCGGCCCCGCTGGCAGGAGGATGACACCTCCCCGTGCGCATGAGCTGCAGCCCCAGCCTGGCGGTCTCTGACCCACGTCCCACTGGACACACAGCTGCACCCRGGGTCTACCCACGAGACATGACAACATGGCATCCTCTCTGCAAACCCTCCAGGTGGCTTTGTCCACAGCAACCCAAGTGTCCCTCGCCTGGTGACAGACAGTGGGGGCACACTCACGGGGCAGAACACACTCAGAACAAGAGGGCTGGGCCCCTTGGGCCTCAGCTCAGTGAACCCGCAGCCGACGCTGAGTGCAGAAGCCTGACTTGCGAGAAGGCTCTGCAAGATCCYATTTGCATGACATTCTGGAAGTTTCTGTCTCCAAAACAGAAGACATGGGGGTTTCTAGGCTGTGTGGAAGGAAGTGACTTCAGAGGGGCATATGGATTTTTCTGACGGGAATGGCGGTCATGTTTATGTGCCTGTCCATCACCATAATACCTAAAGGACTGAATCATCCTCTACATGAAAGACATCTCCATCCACCCAACCTTAAGAGACTAAGGGCCAGGGACAGCTCAGTGGCAGGGCCTTGCCTAGCACGCGCAAGGCCTGGGGAGTGTCCCAAGCACCGACTCAACGGGTCAACCCTCCCACTGCCACTCACTCAGCGAGACCTGGGATGCAGAGAGCCGCCTGAGGGTACCCAGGTTGCTGACTGCAAAACCAACGAGATGACAGCTCCACCCCTAGATAGCCGTCCACCCTCCCTCCCACCGTGTCAAGGGACACAACAGACATCTCTGCGACATCAGTCCTGAAACAACAAAGAAACTTGGATGCTGCGTGCATCCTTGAGGCGTTTCTGCCCTCTGACCAACCTTGATAAACTCCAGCTTCAAGTACTCGGCCATTTGGAAAGTTTTACACACTCGAAAGATGTTGCCGATGACATCCTCTGGCGAATAGCCCAGATGCCACAGGTGGGCCAGGATCTAGACGGAACACAGCAAGGTCAGAGCCCCGTCCACGGCCAGGCACCTGGGAGCTGGGCAAACCCACGCCAGTCAGACCAGCACAGGGCTGAGGCAGGCCACGGGCCAAACAGCCCACAAGGTTCCGAGAACCACCCGTCCCCACGGGGATGCTGGGGGCCTCACGGGCCTTGGGCTGACCACACCCAGATCCCAGGAGCCAGTTTAACTCAGTTCCCTGCAGCCGAGAAGGCACTGCAAGACAGTCCACCACCAAGTCCACCACCTGGCCACGTCACAGACACCCGGGGCCTGCGACACTGTACCTGCTGACAAGTGAACCTAGGGCAGAACCAAGCCTGCCGGGCAGCGACCCGGGAATCTCGGCCTCCTGCCTCCTGCCTCCTGCACGCAGACCAGGGCCTGGCGAGGGCCATTGCCTTTGTGCCTCGGGGCAAACCCGGGGTGGGCCGCTCTGCGTCCACAGATCTGGAGGCTCCTCAGGCCCAGCCAGGGCGCGCACCTCAACCCCTGACTGGCGCTCTACCTTCCCGCCAAGCTGCCCAAGCCCAGGCGCGCTTTGCTGCGTGTGCTGGGCCTAGAAAGGGAATCCTGTGGCCAGACCAGTGCCCGAGTACCACCATGGCCCGGCGGGTAGCTACAGGTCACCCGGACCAAGTGTGCCCACAGACTCTGCCCACGGGACCAGGCCCTGATAGACAAGGCCCCTCCTGGCTGACGGGGATGGCTTAGCCCCACAGTGCCCATCTTCATGCTCCCCAGAAGGACAAGGGACACAGGTCCCCCTGTCCCTGGGGAAGATGGTGTCCCTGGGGAAGGCGCTGGGCTGGTGACTCTGGGTGACAGATTTCCCCATGGGAGGATGTCATTAAAGCTGAAAGACACACTTTCAACCCCAGGCTGACCAGTCAGTGCAGTGTGGGTGAATGGACTGGCCCCGAGGGACCACGGGGCCCTGGTCTATAGAGCGCTCCAGCCCGGGGCCCGGGAGAAGCCAAGCCTCGTGTAGGAGCACCTTGTAGGCCTCGTCGATGTCGCCGTGCACGCAGTGCTGGATCATCTCCTTCACCAGCAGCGGGTGCGGCTCGTCRCAGACCTGCCAAACCAGAGAGGCGTCAGGAGGCCCTCGCTGTTTACACCAAAGTCTCCAGCAACAGAAGGGGCTCTGGGAACATCCCTGTCGCCACCAAAGAAGTCCCCAAACAGAGCAGTTTCCCTGACCCAGGGCTCACAGATCCCCACCCACGGGACACGTCCAGCCCCTCCTGCCTCCCAGGATGGGGAGGACTTAGTGACAGAGAGGTCACAGGAGAGCAGGGCGTGCTTGTGCCCCGGGGTCCTCCTCAGCAGAGGCCAGGCCAGCCCTGTGTCCCAGGCCGGGCATCTGTCCCTTCCTGAGTGCGGGTGAGAACTGCCGGGGTCCTGTACCTTGAACACGTTCTCACTGTTGATGAAGCCAAACCCTGAGAAGGTGGACTGCAGGTTGTTCAGAGCCTGTCGGGGACACAAGTGTGGCACGGTGACCTCCCGCCTCCCCTCCTGCAGTCTGAGGCGGCGCCCGCCCTCCAGCCTGGCGCCCACACACCTGCCGCATGTCCCCCTGGGCAGTGAAGATGATGGCCTCCAGGCCGTCGTCCGTGTACCGCACCTCCTCCTTCTCCAGGACACTCATGAGCCTGGCCAGCACCTGGGCGTCCGTGAGCTTGGTGTAGCGGAGCACCGCACAGCGCGACTGGATGGGCTCTGGGTGGAGACGGGGAGGGTGAGGCCCGGCAAAGGCCAGCACCACCTGCGGCCTGCGGTCACAAGGACAGCTGTGCCTTCCCTGCTGCAGGCCGGCAGGTGCGCAGGAGTGACGGGGAGGCCAGGCAGAGCCGCCAGTGTCCACTGAGCAGCACGACCGTGGCCAGCTCGGCCTCCTACGGGGACAGTTGGCCTCTGAGACAGTCCACGTGCCACAAGCCCCACGGGCCAGTGCTGGCCACCCAGCAGCCTCCAGAGTCAGGCCCCCAGGCAGCCTGCAGCTCGGCCAGGGAGGGGTGGCAGCGGACACCACGCAGCTTCTGCGTGGCAGGGCCGAGGGCCAGAGAGGAGCGCTGTCCCCTGCGGCTCTGCCTGTCCTGGGTGTTACGCTGACACAGGGCCGCCCACCTGTCCACACCAGCAAGGTCCCCCGACCCTTGCACTTCTGCCAAGGACAAGCTTCACCAGTCCCSAAGGCCAACTCTCGGCCTCTCACCCTACACCTGACCTCCCGCTGGCTCCTCACTCTTCGTCCCACCTTCCTCCCTGAGGGCTCTTCCCACTGAAGACGTCCCCTTTCCCAGTCTGTCCCATCAAATCACAACCACCTCACACGGCAACCCCACACCAGCTCCCACGCGTGGCGTAACATGTGGCCAGCCCAATCTCCAGCCTGAAGCACCCCCTGAGGTCCTCACACCCCAGGTCACGCACCCTGCTGCTCTGTGGGTGCAGGACATGCCCGCAGCCTCCCTCAATGCAGGCTCTGGAGCCGTGGGGGCTGGAACAGCCCGGAGATGGTGCTTCAGCAGAGCTGTGCCCCGGGCTGAGAGCCCCAGGCTGGACGAGGGACCTGCACAGCCCAGGTCAGGGGACAGGAGCTGGGGAGGGGCCAAGGTCGGGCAGACACAACTCGTGCCAGGCAACTGCAGGCCACCACAGGCCACCGCTGAGCAGCAACGGGAGGGTGAGCAGGGCAGGGGGTCCCAGCAGCTCCAGGGCCACCCTGGCAGCCACCAGGGGAGAAGCCTGGGCCACGGCACCAGGTCGAGAGGAGGGAGGGAGCCCCGGCCTGGGCTGAGGGMAACGGGGGCTAGGGAGGCCACTGCGCCGGGAGACCCTCAGATTTGACTTGCACAAGGACAGAGGGGACGTGAGCACTGGAAAGAGAACATGGGAGGACCTGGCTTGCCTGGCTGGGGAGTGGCCTGTGGGGGCAGAGGTGCTGGGGCAGCTCCGCTCTACCACGTCCGTCCACAGCAGGCAGGTGGCCTCCACCATGGGGTTCTGTACATAAAATGCGACCAGCTGCAGAAGGGGTGAGACCTTCGAGAAAGCCTAAGGCCAGGTGTGGTGATGCGCACCTGTGACCCTTGAGACAGGGAGGCTGAAGCAGGAGGCTCGCTCGAGGCCAGCCTTGGCAACTTAGCAAACCCTCTTAAAATGAGACGAGCTGGGTGTGGCTCAGGGAAAAAAAAAGTAATTAATATTTAAGCTACTCTAGAAGTTTCCTTTGGTAGAGCTCTTTCTCTCTCTTAAGATGAGCCTCTTCGGGCTGGGGCTCAGCTCTAGAGCGCTCGCCTAGCACATGTGAGACGTTGGGTTCAATTCTCAGCACCACATAAAAATAAATAAAGAAAATAAAGAAAAAGAAATAAGCCTCTTCTAACTGGGTCTTCCCTCTGTGGGATTTTTTTTTTTAAGATGTACCATAAGCTTAATTCGCAGAAATTTTAAAAACAGGATCAATCAAGCAGGCATGGCCTTCCTTAAAGAAAGCACCACGGGTCGGGAGGCTGAGGCASGAGGATCTTGAGTTCAAAGCCAGCCTCAGCAACAGCGAGGTGCTAAGTAATTCAGTGAGACCCTGACTCTAAATAAAATACAAAATAGGGCTGGGGATGTGGCTCAGTGGTTAAGACCCCCTGAATCCAATCCCTGGTGCCGCCCYCCCGCCCAGCCCCTCAAGCTCTGCAGCAGCTGGACCATGGACCATTTCCTCTGAGGCAAAAACCCAAATGTCTGTAAGTATTTCCCTTCATGTCTGTATACCCCTCTTGAAAATGAAAATAGTCACGGGGGCAGGGGCTGCAGCCCAGTCGCACAGGGAGTGCCTAGCAGGCTCAGGCCCTGGGCTCCATCCCCCGCACCGCCAAAAAAAAAAAAAAAAAAGAAAGAAAGAAAGAAAGAAAAGAAACAATGCTCAAACAGTCTGAATGCTGAATGTATCGGAGATCAATTTCCAGGAAGGGGAGGCCAGAGCCTTTCCCAACCACCAATGCAGCTGCCCAGCACCCAGCGAGCTCGGCAGCACAGGCCGCTGCAGCTRCACAGCAGGCCGGTCTCCAAGCCATCAGGGAGACAAGCTATGGACACCTCCACACTCAGACCTGCTCCTGCATCTCTGAGCCCCGTGAGAGGTGGGAGAACAGAGCATCCCAGCAGCACTGGGCGCTGGGGCTGGGAGCCCTGATCCTGGGCTGGGAGCCCCGATCCTAGGCACTGCMGGCAGGCTTGGCTGCAGCCGCATGCACAGCCTGAGTGGAGAAGGGAGTGCCAGGTGAGCTCCCACGGCTGGGGATCAGCAGGGCAGGACAAGAGAGCCCTGAGGACACCAGCTGTGCGTGAAGCCTGCAGCATAAAGGGGAGGAAGTGAAACCCACCGGAACTGTGAAAGGCCCAGGAGCGAGGGGGCAGGGCAGACGCTGAGGTCACCCACTGGAGCTGCGGCACCCGAAAGGCCCTGAGCAAGGGGGCAGGCGGAGGTCGGAGACAGGACCGAGTGTAAGAATCCAGGGCAAAGTTGGGCTCAGTGCCACACGCCTGCGATCCAGCAGCTGAGAAGCTGAGGCAGGAGGATCTCAAGTTCAAGGCCAGCCTCAACAAGGTAGTGAGGCCCTAAGCAACTTAGTGAGACCCTGTCTCAAAATAAAAAGGGSTGGGGATGTGGCCCAGTGCTTGTCCAGCACACGCGGGACCCTGGGGTTTGATCCCGTACCTCACACACACGCAGAAGCGGGAGAGGGCAGCAGATGGAGCAGGGGCTCAACCCCAGCTCTCCTCTGTGCTGTGTGACTGGGCAAACTACTCAGCCCCTCTGAGCCTGCTTTCTCATATACAAAGAGAAGCTAAGGAGCTGAAGGTGCAGCTCTGCGACAGAGTGCTCGCCTCCAATGCTGGAGGCCTCAGGTTTAATCTCCAGCTCCACAAAAAAYACATAAATCAAGTGAAGCTCAAGGCTGGGTGTGGCTCGGCCAGAGAGCGCTGCCTGGCCTGTGGGGACCCGCGTTCAGTCCCCAGCTCGGCCACAGAACAGGAAGTGAAGCTGACAGCATTGCCAGAAAGAGTCACGTAAGCTCCACCTAAGACCTGACTGCATTTCAAAATGTCACGTGTACGTGATGGACGCTTCAYTTCTCAGTTCTGAGGACAACCAAGGGAGCTGGCTGTGCAGATCCCACAGAGGCTGGGCCTGGCGGGCAAGAAGGCCTCTCTGCTGCTTGAAGCCGGCCAGAGCAGGGGTGCGGCATGGGGGCAGAGCTCGCCCCACGCTGAGGCCTGAGTCTGCCCAGGGAGCCAGCCGCAGGCCCGGCCACGCAGGCTCAGCTCACCTATGATCTTGTCGGAGGCGTTACAGGCCAGAGCGAAGCGCGTGGTCTTGGAGTAGATCTCCATGGTCCTCCTCAAGGCCTGCTGGGCTCCATCCGTCATGCTGGGAGGGGACACACGAGGAGGAAGTCACACCTGGGCATGGGCCCAGGCCACAGCCTCCCCACAACAGCTCAGCACGCACCACACACCCCAGCCCTGGGCAGGGGTCTCCAGCACCAAGCCACCCCCCAGTAGGAAAGCCCATGAGCCACTCTCGGGGTCACATGGCACCCGGGGCCTGCAGCACCAGAAACAGCGCCCTGGTGAATGCATGAGGCCACTGTCTCCAGGGCTGCTGCCACGCCTGCCCAGGACCCGTCTGGGCTCCAGGAAGGCAGGCTGCACACAGGCCTCAGAGCAGAGGCCCTGCGTCCATCACTTGCTGGAYGTGGGACTCAGACAGATCTTCCCAGCCTCAGTGTTACCACTTACAGGTCAGAGATAATGAGGCTGCCTACTTAGAGGTTGTCAATTAAATGAGATACTGCTGTGTGCAGTGATTAGCAAGCGCTCAGCATATCGTAAATTAACACACAAGTGTTAATAGGTGTTAGCTGTCATTAGTACTCTAGATAGTGAAATGGTTAGCGTCTATCCACACCATAGAATATGACATGAMGATTCAAAACCATGGCTGGACGTGGTGGCTCATGCCTGAAATCCTAGCTATTCAGGAAGCTGAGGCAGGAGGATCATAAGTTCAAGGCCAGCCTGGGCAACTTAGTGAGACTCTGTCTCAAAATAAAATGCAAAGGGCTGGCGGTGTAGCTCAGCAGTAGAGAGCTTGCCTAGCATGTATGAGGCCCTGGGTTCAGCCCCCAGTACAGCAAAAAATAAAAAACAGGGCTGAGATTGTGGCTCCGTGGTAGAGCGCTTGCCTTAGCATGTSTGAGGCACTGGGTTCGACTCTCAGCATGACAGTAAATAAATAAATATTGTGTCCAGCTACAACTAAAAATATTAAAAACAAATTTAAAAGTTAAATAAAAAAAATAAAAACTCTGTTTGCAGCTGGCAGCTGGCACGGTGGTGCACATACACAGTACCAGCTACKCAGGAGGCTGAGGCAGGAGGATCACCGAGCCCAGGAAATGAGGCCAGCCTGGACAACACAGAAAGACCTTGTCTCAAAAACAAGAACAAACAAGGGCTGAGGTTGTGGCTCAGTAATAGAACACTCACCTAGCCCATGTGAGGCCCTGGGTTCAATCCTCAGCACCACATAAAAGTAAATAAATAAAATAAAGGTATTGTGTCCAACTACAACTAAAAAAAAAAAAAAAAAAAAAAAAAATTAAAAAAAAAAAGAACAAAACAGAACAACAACAACGACAACAAAACACATCCATGAGATTATAATGATGGGCCAGACTCGGTGGCACATGCTTGTCATCCCAGCGGCTTGGGAGGCTGAGGCAGGAGGATCACAAATTCAAAGCCAGTCTCTGCAATGGCGAGGCCCTAAACCCACTCAGTGAGACCTTGTCCGTAAATAAAACACAAGCAGAGCTGGGGATGTGGCTCAGTGGTCGAGAGCCACTGAGTTCAATCCCTGGTACTAAAAACAAACAAAAAGATTCTAAGGGTGTGGATCATGGCTTATAACGTTAAAAGGAAGACGTAGGACCCCACAAATGAGAGATATTCGACTAGTGAAAATAAAAGTGCAGAAAAAGAAATAAGGCATGGTGATGATGACATTTTTTGGGGGGTGGGGGTACCAGGGATTGAACTCAGGGGCACTCCACCACTGAGCCACATCCCCAGCCCTATTTTGTTTTTATTTAGAGACAGGGTCTCACTGAGTTGCTTGGCACCTGGCTTTTTGCTGAGGCTCGCTTTGAACTCGCGATCCTCCTGCCTCAGCCTCCTGAGCTGTTGGGATCACAGGTGTGTGTCACCATGCCCGGCTTTTAGACCAATGGCTCTAAGTTAGCTACAAAGCCAAGGTCTGAGCCCCTGGTCAACTGCTGTCTGAAGATGTGGTAAGCAAACCCACCTCAAAGGTGGTTCTTTCTTGTGTGTGTGCTGCTGGGGGTTGAACCCAGAGCCTYGTGCATGCGAGGCAGGCGCTCTACTAACTGCGGTATGTCCCCAGTTCCCACAAAGGTGATTCTTCTCCTGCTCTAACAAAGCCCAGCAGGAGCCTTGGCCAGGTGCACACCTGTCTGCCTCGTCCAGGATGACAATCTTGTGCCGGCCTTTGGGAAGGGTGACCTTCTGTTGAGCAAACATCTTGATTTTATTCCTYACAACATCGATGCCCCTGGAACAATAAACCACAATTGTAAGTCACCTTTTGAGGCAAATTCAGTTCCCTTCACAGGGACTCTGAAACCTTCTCAACCACCAGGGACTATAGGACTCAATTTTAGTTTTTTAATTTCTTTTTGGGTTAATTCTCACGATTCAGGAGGACTGATATTTCAGGGCTTCTCTTCTCCCCTGCAGGGCTTCCAAGGACCAAAGCCACCATGTCCTGACTTTTGGACAGACTAAAACTCATTTTATCCTGAACCACCATGGGGACCCAGGGCCCTTCACAGCTGAGGGTCCCTTTGGGTCTCAGTGCTCATTCCTCCTGTGCCCTGGCGCAGCAGCTGGCCACCCGTCATGCCAGGGACTGCTCYGCCGCTTATTCCCAACTGTGCTGAAGGAGGCCGGGGCGGCCGAGGACACCGTGGGGAAGGACGCCAGCGGTGCTCGTCCCGCAGGGCCTGCTCTCGGTGCAGGAGGGGCTGGGCCAGCCTGGACTGTGGTGCTGGAATGGAACCAGGGTTCAAACACGCCAGGCCACCTTGGCCACCGAGCCACACCCAGCCCTGGACTGCCATCTTTGCCGTCCGTGAGGTTTCGTGGACCATGGCTGAGAATTTACATGGCCACTGCCCGGGCCCGGGCTCAGGGGTGGGGTGTGCCAGGTGAGCAAGGCCCTGGCCACCAGAACAGCACACTGAGGCCTTGTTCACCTCAGCAAAGGGAAAAATGGGCAGTTTTCATAACGGTCAGATAATCACCAAAGGTTGCCCAGACCCTGGCTGCAGCACCAGGGATGCCACTGGTGTGACACTGACGGGTGGCCTCACCTCAGGCCATGACTCCAGTAACTCAATCAAGGCTGGACAGCATGTTTCTTTTTTCCTTTTTGTGTGGTGCTGGGGACTGAACCCAGGGCCCTGTGCACACGAGGCAGGCGCTMGACCAACAGTGCTCTGTCCCCAGCCCTGAAAAATGTCCCCAGCCCCAAACAATGTATTTCTAAAGAGAAAAAAACAAATCTCTTTCCATCTCTGTGGACACAGGACAGGAAGGACCTGGTCACACCACCCCCTGGACACCGCATCTTGCTCACCCATACGATAGTCCTCCTCCATCCCCAGGATGCCCATGCACCAGCACTCACAGTCTGCTGACCAGTGCTGGCTGTGGGCTAGACCAAGGTGTCCCCCAGGAGCTCACAGTGACACAGCACTACAGGGATCAGAGGTGGAGGGAGGGGATGGGAGAGCTGTGACCTGATCCGCTGGGTGGTGACTGTGGGCAGCTGGGGAATGGCTGGAGGAGGTGGCTCACTGGGGACATGCCTTTGGGACTCATTTTGTACCTGGTGGGTGGAGCTCTCTCTGCTTCCTGGCAGCCATGTCCAGAGCTGCTCTCTTCCCCTGGGCCCTCCCACCATGATGCTCCGCCCCATCTGGGCCCAGAGTGATGGAGTCAGCTGTCTATGGCCCGAGAGCCACAGGTGGACTTTCCCTCTCCTATGATTCTTGTGGCATCTTTGGTCACAGTAGCACGAAAGCTGACTAAGCCAGTGTTCCCCGTCTTTATGATGCTCCCGCCCTGCACTTGTGTGGTGTGGTGTGTGATGACCGAGAGCTGGCAGYGGGTGTGTCCCTACAGGTGACAGGAAGGGAACAGATGCCCACCATCGAGAGGACAGAGCAAACCCTAAACAGAAATACCCAGTGTTGGTGAGGACATGGGGACATGGGGACCCTGYGCACAGCTGGTGGGGGTGTGAACAGCCATCTGGTAGAGCAAGGCGGCCGCTGAACCACCAAAACAGAACAAGCCACAGGACGAGGCCGGTCCACTCCAGGTGTCGACCCTTTCCCCATAGAATCAAAGGCAGGGACTTGAAGAGATGCTTGTCCCCCAGGGTCACAGGGCCGCCACTTGCCATTGCCAAAGGACAGAGRCAGCTCTTGTCCTTTTCAGAGACAATAAACACAACTTGGAAGGACACACGCGGGGCAGGCATTCCCCAGCCAAGAGGAGGGCGGCAAGCTCGCTGGTGCTCCAGCCACATGGCCTGACCAAGCAGGGACCAGGGATGGTAGCGTGACTCCTCCACTYCTCAGACCTGTGGGCTCTAGCAGGCAGCTGGGCAGCGGGGCTTGGMGGGGAGCAGGCTGGTTCTGGCACAGGGCTCCAGCTCTGCCAGACGCCACCTGCAGGGAGTGCAATCCTGGGGACATGCTTGGCCCTGCCTGGTGCATGCCAAGCACGGGGTGATGGTGGCCATTTTTGCATTATGTCTACTTCACCACAATTTAAAATGATTTCTCAAAACTTTCCACCAAAACACAAAGGAAAACAACAAGACTCTCAGTTGGCGCTTGGACAGGTGGGCACCAGAAGCACAGGGCTGGGCAGCGAGCTGGGACGAAGCCGGAACTGCGAAGGCGGACCCCACCGCCATCCCCCACCGCTGTCCTCACCCCACACCCAGCCCAGGCCCACCTGTCGTTGGAGGCGTTGAGTTCCAGGACAGCATCCTTCAGCGCGGGGCCCAGCAGGGCKCGGGCCAGACACAGGATGCTGGTGGTTTTGCCAGTTCCTGGGGGACCCTGGGAACAAGGGCTCTTGTCAGAGCTTCAGGCCCCCAGAAGGCCCCCAGGGTGCTCCTGGGCCCCTGCCACTCCCAACTCCCACCCTGCCCCACCCCTCGGCACACAACCGCACAGTACAGCAAGTGACCCACAGGCCTCCCCATAACAGGACCGAAATGGCCCAGGGCCTCTCTGGGGAGGAAGGACAGAGTGCAGAGGCACTCAGTGGGCAGAACCAGAGCAGGGCACTCACCGCAATGATGATATTGGGCAGGTTCCCTTCTCTCGCAAAGACCTGYGGGAAAGAGGCTGATTAGAATTGGCTAATCCAAGCTGGGCGCAGTGGCACAAGCCTGTAATCCCATCAGCTTGGGAGACTAAGGCAGGAGGACTACAAGTTGGAGGTCAGCCTCAGCAACTTAGCAAGACCATGTCTCAAAATGAAAACTAAAAAGGGCTGGGGCTGGGGCTTTTGGTAGAGCACCTGCCTTGCACCTGTGAGGTACTGGGCTCGACCCTCAGCACCACAGAAAAATAAAAAAGATATTTAAAAAACAAAACAAAACAAAAAACACTTAACCCATAGGCCCAGGGGCCGAGTCTCCCAGCGCACAGACCCATGTGGTGAAACACGCGTGACTCACCTCTCCAGGAGGATGGCTCGTGGGACTTGCACCTCAGCCCATTCAAAACGGAACTCATCAGCCCTACAAACCTGAAGCCCAGCCTGTGTTTCTTCTCCCATGGACTCTCCAGCCCTCCCCAGGTGGTCCAGGATGGGACCTGGATGGGTCTGGAGGCGACACTCGCCCTTGGCCTCACGGCACCATCACCACAGCGCCAAGGCCTGCCTTCCCTCCTGCGCCCCGCCTTCCCTCCTGCACCCCAGCTCCTCTCCCACTGTTGAGCCCACTGTTCCCCCCTGGAGGAGGGCCACTGTCTCCTGCTTCTCCTTCTGCCCCAGGCCAACTCATTTTTCGTACTGTAAGTACAATTATTTTTCTAAACTACACAACCAYTGAAAGCTTTGCCAAGCGCGTTGGCTCACACCTGGAATCCCAGCTTCTCCAAAGCTGAGGCAKAAGGATGGCCAATTCGAGACCATCAGGGCAATTTAAGGAGGTCTCATCTCAAACTAAGACAAAAGGAAAATAAAGGCTGGGGAATGCAGCTCAGTGGCAGAGCCCTTGCCTGGCACGCACAAGCTCTGRGTTCAATCTGTAGTACAGCAAAACCCACCCACCAACCCATTCAAACCCCAATTTTACCTAACTGAAACCCTGGGGTGACTCCTTCCTGTCCTCACCTTCTTTTTCAGTGCTGGGGAACAGAATCCAGGGCCTCTACATGCCAAGCAGGTGCTCCCCACTAAGCTCCCTCGGCCTGAAGCCCAAACGTTTTTTATTATAGCTGCAGTACTGGGGCTTGAACCCAGGGCCTCACATATGCTGAGCAAGCACTCCACCACTGAGCCACATCCCCAGCCTTTTTWAATTTTTCGAGACAGGGTCTTGCTAGGTTGCTTAGGGCCTTTCTAAGTTGCTAAGGCTGGCCTTGAACTTCAGCCTCCAGAGCTGCTAGATTATAGGCACTCACCACTATGCCTGGCTTCAAGTATTTGTAAAATTAATAAATCAAAATAAACCTGATAGCTAAGCCCCCGCTTACTATAGAGACGATCTCTGTCATTTCTCAAGCAGCTGGGCTTCTAGATTGCACAGAAAGACCTCCAAGGCTGGGAATTCAAAGCCTGCTCTACTGCCAAATGGTTCTGCATGTTCTTCCTCRTGTCGTGCCTTGTCACTTAGCCATCTAGCTCCTCCAGGCAGGGGCTGGCAAAAGATAGCCAGTTGGGGGTGAGGGTGGACAAATCCTTCACRAAGTCTGTTTTTGTAAGTCTCCTGGCTAAGAATGGTTTTCACATTTTTTTTTCCATATTTTGTTAGTTGTCGATGGACCTTAATTTATTGGTATGTGGTGCTGAGAATCGAACCCAGTGCCTCACACCTGCTAGGCAAGCGCTCTACCACTGAGCCCCAGCCCCAGCCCTGGTTTTCACATTTTTTTTTTTTTTTAGAATTTCAATATTTATTTTTCAGTTTTCAGCGTACACAACATCTTTGTTKGTATGTGGTGCTGAGGATCGAACTTGGGCCGCACGCATGCCAGGCGAGCGCGCTACCGCTTGAGCCACATCCCCAGCTCTGGTTTTCACATTTTTAAAGCATTGTTATTTCGTTTTGTTTTGTTACAAGGGTGCTAGCGACTCAATGCTGAAGATATTATCTGGCATTACAGGAAAAGTTTGGCTCTTCTGCTAGAGATGGATAAGATCAAGTCTGAAACTTCTGAAAAGCCAATCCTTTAAAACCACTGATGGTTGCCACCAGAGTTTCCACTGTCCCTCAGATTGAATGTCTTCTATCCCTTGATTCTTCTGGATTCCTGGTCCACCTTTCCCTGAGTTTTTTTTTTTTTTAAATATTTTATTTACATTTTAGTTTTCAGCAGACACAACATCTTTGTTTGTATGTGGTGCTGAGGATCGAACCTGGGCTGCAACCACGCCAGGCGAGCACTCTACGGTTTGAGCCACATCCCCAGCCCCTCCTTCACTGAGTTGACTGTCTTCCTCTAAATGTTTTGAGCTTGTCAAAGAAGGACATCAAAAGACAGCATTTTTTAAAAGCCACTCACCTCTAGCCGGCTCACAGTGTCTTCATTCCCAACAATTTCATTCAGCTTTATTGGCCTGTATTTTTCAACCCTGTTTTTAAGAAAATGCATAAAAATACCGACAAAGTTATCTTCATGCAACCCAAAAGAAATCATTAAAAGGAACAGGCAACACGGTACATGCCTATAATCCCAGCAACTCTGGAGGATGAGGTAGGAGGATCACAAATTCAAGCTCTGCCTCAACAATTTAGCAAGAACCTCAACAACTGAGCAAGAGCCTGTCTCAAAAATGAAAAAGGGCTGAAGATGTAGCTCAGTGGTAGAGCACCCTGGGCCAATCACCACTACCAAAGAAATAACCAGAGCCAATGGACACAAGTTTCATTTAATGAGGTGTCCAAGTTCCATTTGAAAAGTGAAGTGCATGAGGATGGTCCACCYACCACAACCCAATGCCCACCACGGCAGAGAAACACGCTGCAGCTGGACAGGGGCCAGCACAGACCACATGGAGCAATGTGACAGTGCAAGGTGACATGGTCTGCACAAGCAGCCCAACATCGTCAGGTCTGACAGACGTGGCACACCTGGAACTCTCATCCCTTACCTGCCAGTTTCCACAGGTAGGTGCCATGCACACAGCCATGACAGCTAGATGGAAACCAAGGCCACCCTGTCGTCCCATGAGCCTGTGGAGTGAACAGGCAAGTGGCCTATTCACACCGTGGTCTTTTAAATAAGCTATGCCAGGGCTGAATTGCCCATGCTTGTAATCCCAGCGACTCAGGAGGCTGTTGCAGGAGGATGGCAAGCTCAAGGCCAGCCTGAGCAACTGTGTGAGATCCCGTCTCAAAATAAAAATAAGAAAGGGCTGGGGCTAGAGCTCTGTGGTAGAGGACCCCTGGGAACCACAAGAAATAAACAMGCAAACTATGTGAGGAAAGCAAAGGAGCATAGGTGTGGCAGTGTATTTGTAACAATTTAACTATCAGGACCTCCTTTGCCATTGTATATTCTTTATTTGTTTGTTGTTTTTTTTTAATGAGGTGCTGGTGATCAAGTGCAGGCCCTTATGCCAGCTCGGCAAGCACCCTACCACCAGGCTACACCCCAGCCTGCCCATTACTAAACTCCCTGGTTTGTCGTTGCACCCTGTACAAATAAGGAGGGTCCACTCTAGCTCCAGAGACAGCTGTTATCCGAGGCCAGCAGGAGAGCACCTGCTCCCACCCACTCATTCTCTAGACTCTGCCTCTTCCAGGGGCCAAGCACTGTGTAAGGAGTTAGGGGCTCAACAAGAGGAAAGCAGAAGACACSGGGATGAGCAGGACATGTTCCTGCCCCCAAGACTTCACCACCAACAGGGAGACAGAGCTTAGCAGAGCCCAGTACAGTGCCAGTCTTATTACATAAACCAAGGGCTGTGGAGTCCCAGAGGAGGGAGAGAATCAGACCTGGGAGCATCAGGAGCAGACCTGGAGCTGGTCCCTGAAGGGCAAGTCCACTTCGTCTGCAGGCTGCCCCTGCCCAAAGCTCCTCCAGCACACAACCTGTTCACCTGTCAGAGCCTCCTTAGAGGCCTTCCTGACCACCAGAGCTACTGATTTCCCCCTCGSAGCACCTGTCTTATCAAACACACAGTGCATTTACTGGTCTGTTTATTGGCTTATTTATTTATCGGTGCTTRGGACTGAACCCAGGGCCTGACCCAGCCAGTGAAGGTGAGCGGCACCCCCAGCCCGCCCTTGTCTGTCTATTCGCTTTGCCTCTCTGTCAACTGTGAGCTCCTTGACAGCAGGGGATGTGCCCTTCCAGAGTCTCTCAGGCATCTGGACAGCGCTGTGTAAGAGGAACAGAACGTGGGCCTTGTGTGTAAAGTTTTCTGGTGGCCGTATTAACAGGCAGAAAGAAGATGGGTAAAGCTAATTAAATGACCCTAACACGCAGAGTACCCTCGTTGTCAACATGCAACCAATATTAAAAATAATAATTAAAAAAATAACTGCGATTAAGAAAACCCCGGGTAGTCCTGACTGTCCTTAGCCCTGCTGTGTGGGACCGGCCACTGCAGACCCCGGGTGGGCTCGGAGACCCGTGTCCCTCGCCTTCTGCAAACCACAATCCCTTCGCCGCCCCCGGCCCTCCTGCTCCCCAAGGGTCCCCAGGACCAGCCCGGGTCCCCCATTGGGTCCCCCATCGTGTTCCCCCGGAGCACGGCCCGCTCTTCGCCCATCCTCACGTCCAAATGCGCCCATTATCTACGCCCTGGGCCCTCACCATGGCAGCTCGTAGTGGCCGGAGCCGCCAGAGGCCTTGCTGGGGCCAGGCGCAGAGTCCTCGGCCCCGCGGTCTGCTACGCCACTGCCGCCTGGTTGCCCCTCCATTCTCGCGCCTCCACTTCGCGCCGCCCGAGGCCCCGGCCCCTGACGTCATCACGCAGCCCCACCCCCTTCCCCAGGGGAAGCGGGCGCCACCGTCTCCGCGCCTGCGCAGACGGCTCAGGTCCGCCAGCTTGCCGACCGCTAGAGGCCGTAGTTGGGATGGGAGACCCGGCGCCTGCCCGGGAGCCCCGGATGCTAAGCCCCGGATGGCGAGCCCGCGCCGCCTTCAGGGAGGGCAGGTCGCTCCGCGAACTGACAACCGCGTGATTAGGCGCGAGACACCTCGCCGCGGGCCCAGAGCGTCTTCCTAGCGCCTGCGAGGCCCTGTGGGCGGCGCTGCCCGACCGCCGCCCGGCACGCGGACGGGAGGGCGCGGGCGTCCGGCGGGGAGGCGGGAGCGCGGCCGCGGGCAGCTCTCGGAGGTGGAGTCTGCGCCGGACGCTGGTTCTCCGCGGTTCCCTCCCGGCCGCGAGGTGGGAGCCCGCACCGCCTGTCCGCAGCGGGAGACGGCCCCGCAGAGGGCTCGGCGGTCACTCCCCAGAAGCGGACGCTTCGCATGCACAGTTCTTTGGGGTTGATTTCTCCCGTAGCCCAAATGTCACAGGAACGATGATGAACGATGACGAACTGTCACTRCGCCCTTGCTGTGCAGTAGACGCTGGGTGGGTGTTCGTGTTATGCCCAGCTGGCAGACCAGCCTCCAGATTGGCAGTGATTAAATTGTCCATTGTCATTTGGGCTGTAAGTGTTGGAGCCAGCATTCATTCCCCACCACCGCGCCAGAGCTCTTGGTGTAAAATTCTGTTTTATTGCACTTAGCATGTTGTATGTGATTTTTGTCTTCCTTCCTTCCTTCCTTCCTTCCTTCCTTCCTTCCTTCCTTCCTTCCTCCCTCCCTTCCTCCCTCCCTCCCTCCTTCGGGATTGAATCCCGGGACACCCTACCCCAGTCCTTTTACTTTGAGAAAGTGTCTCCAAATTTCTGAGGCTCTTGCTAAATCCCGGGACACCCTACCCCAGTCCTTTTACTTTGAGAAAGTGTCTCCAAATTTCTGAGGCTCTTGCTAAATTGCTGAGACTGGCCTCGAACTTGGGATCTTCCTGCCACAGCCTCCCGAGTCACCTGGATATCAGGCGTGGGTTACCACACCTGGCCGCATCCTAATTTCCTGATAAAATTAGTACTAGTTGTCCTGGGAGTGACTCCATGGGAGAGCACTTGCCCAGCATACCTGGGACCCTGGGTTCACACCTGTGAAAATGAGAGAATGAGGCGTGTTAGCATCTGAATTGAAGCAAGGATTGGGACCTGTTGATCCGCAGTGCTTAGCACAGGCCTGGAGAGCCCTGAATGTTCATGTCCTTAGTGATCAATGAGAACTATGTTTCCATAAACTAGATCTACAGGGAAGAACTGGGTTGCTTTGATCAGAGAGGACAGATCACATCCCCATCCTCAGGGAGAATCCTCATGTATGGAGGTAGCTGACCTTGTCTCACAGACAGCTGATTAGTCATTCAAATAATGATGGGTTCCAGAATCTGTACTGCAGATCTTTTTCTATTTTTACCCTTTCTTTTGAGTTTTTCTCCCCCTACCCCTGCCAAGAAATGTCCATCCATTCTAGAGTGTATTGGAGAGAACATGGCTGCTATCATACTTTTTCACATCTAAATCAGTGCTTCATCTTTCCAGGCTGTGTGGCTCCTGGAAGACGGGCCACGGACCCTGTCTGCTCCTCTATATGCAGCAGGCACAGCCTGGCAGGAGGTGGGCACAGCTTCCCATTGTGTCCTCCCAGGCATGGGGGAACAATGTGCTTCTTCATTCTGTTCACGTTTTTGCCAGTTGGGCAGACACCTCAAATGACTCACATTCTGGAGCATTTTTTTAATGACAGTAATTATTCAGGTCTCTAGATCCAGGACTCTCAGCTTGTTTCCGGGGACTGAACCCAAGGCCTTGTGCCTGTGAGGCAAGTGCTCTACCAACTGTGCTATGTCCCCAGCCCCAACTGTTTCTTCTTTTTTATGATTAGAGAATAAGGCTTGAGGCTGGGGTTGTGGCTCAGCAGTGGAGCGTTCACCTGGCACAGGCGAGGCACTGGGTTCGATCCTCAGCACCACATATAAGTAAATAAATAAAGGTCACTCAACAACTAAAAAAATATTAAAAAAAAAAAAAAAGAAGAAGAAGGCTTGATGAAGACTCTCTCCGGAATATTCCCCTTTCAACTTAAGGAGCTATCTTGGATGGCTTTAAAGTCGCCATTCACATGTCTCTTATCTCTTGGGGGGGAGATATACATTTTTCTTAAATGTAAACATTGCTTAAAATTCCTCTTTGTGGCTTGTCCTTGAGATGGTTCCCATGTAGCAATATTCGTATTTCCCTTATAAATCAACTGTCACACGTTCTCTTCCCACCACATAACACACTTTCAGTCTGCAGAAAATGGTGTTTAGGGAGGCTGAGGCAGAAGATAGAAAGTCCAGAGCCAGTGTYAGCAGCTTATCAAGGGCACTGTCTCTAAATAAAACGGAGGAGGGCAGGGATGTGGTTCAGTGGTTAAGCACCCCTGGGGTTCAATCCCCAGTACCAAAAAAAAAAAAAAAAAGAATGGTGTGTACTTCCTTCTCCTTCCATGACTCTTCTCCAAGCCCCTGCTCCACAAGAGGCCCCCTAGAGCTGAGGGGACTTGGAGCCTGTCCCTGATGTGTTGGAATGCCAGGAGAGCCTGGGGAGGAGATGATCTCTGGGGCAGAACTGCACTTTCAGGACATTCCTCTCTTCCCTAGACTGAGCCTCCCCACTTCCTGGACTTGGGCCCAGACAGAGCTGGGAGCTGAAGACTTCAGCCATTCCCCCAGGGCCACACGGCAGCAATATTGGGGACCCAGGAGTGTTGGGAGACCACAGCTCTTATGAAATCACCCCRAAGCTGGGCTCCCAGGCTCTCATCACCAGAGGGCAAAGGAGACAAAAGGGGAAGAGAGTGACAGGAGATGGGGTTGAAAAATAGAGCCCTCAGCCTAAACCAAAACTTCCAATAATTTTTTTGTACTGGGGATTGAACCCAGGGGTGCTCAGCCACTGAGCCACATTCCCAGTCCCTTTTATATTTTATTGCGATACAGAGTCTCATTAAGTTGTTGAGGCTGGCTTTGAACTCGCTTACAATTCTCCTCCCTTAGCCTCCCAAGCCACTGGGATTACAGGTGTGCCCCACGGTGCCTGGCCCAGTAATATTTTCAAACAGGACAGGCAGCAGATCTTGGTTAAAATGACACTTTAACTTTCACCATTAGAGTATCGCCCCCTTCCTGGGTGATGTTGCAGAATTCAGGGCTAAAAATCTGTTGATGTCCCAAACCCAGGGCTACCGGACTCCCCTGCTTCCTGCCCACTGCAGCCACCTCTGGCCCAGAAACCAAGCCAGTTGGCTGCTGGCCTTGTGTACATTGGAGTTTAAAAATTTGTTATCTAGTTTTTTATGATTTTGAGCTACTTTTTCTTTTCAAATGGTGATACTAATTGTGTGCGGTGGTGCACGCCTGAAATCTCAGGGGCTCAGGAGGCCAAGGCAGGAGGATAATGAGTTCAAAACCAGCCTCAACAACCTTAGCAAGGCCCTAAGTAATTTAGCAAGACCCTCCCTGTCTCTAAATAACACATAAAAAGGGCTGGGGTGTGGCTCAGCGGTTAAGCACCCCTGGGTTAGATCCCTAGTACCAAAAATAAAATAAAATAAAACGTTTCCCCTAAACAGTGTCTCATGTCCTTAAGTTTTCTAGTATTCTCATTCGCATTTTCAATATTAAAGGTTCATCATGAAGTGAAAAATCATATTTCCTAAATATAACTGCAGTACAAGGACTTCTTATCTGGGTAAACTGCGCCTGAGTTTTGCTCTGATCAGGGTTATGGCACTTAGAAGCTGGTTAGAAATCACTTAGCCTGGGTCTTGCTCTCTGCCTTTTAACACATTCTGGCCGAGTGGCCACTGCCACTGTAGGGAGGGACAGCCAGTCCAAGCAGCAACCAGATTTTTGTTTAATTCTAATTATCTAAGAGTTAGAAAAGGGACTGGCTGTTTGTTAGGTGTCAGCAATAGTCAACAGCCCTGCTGAGGAGGGTGGGAAGGGCTTTGTGGGGAGGGGCCGCCCACCTGAGATCTGAACTGCACATCTGCGATTTGGTGGCTTGCCTGGAAGTCCTGCTAGCCGCGGCCTGCCCTGCTCCTGCCCGTGACCCTGGCTTCTCCTTCACTGTACCTGCCCTAGTCGATAATGATCTAGACCTTGTTTACAGTGGCCTTCTCCCTGGGTTGGCGGTTCTGCGAGAACAGGAACTTTCTTGGTCCTGTGCACCTTTGTGCCCTGGGTCCTTGTCACACCTGGCCCAGTGTCAGGGGGCTGCCTGTCTCCTGAAGGCACCAACAAATCAATGAATGAAGTGATCGATCGTTCAGCGAGAGGGTCCTGGAGCACATCATGGCTAGATCACTGGGGAGGGCAGATGGGAGTCGAGAGAGGGGGCCGTTGGGGGCCAGCAAGGTCRCCATGGCCTGTTAAGAGCAGTCAGATGCCCCTGAGGGTGTCAGGCCAGAGGAACTGACCCAGTTTGTATTTTAGATCACTCTCCTTCCGRTGGCAAGTGGCCTGGGGGAAGCAAGGAGGAACTGTGTGTGGGCAAGTTTGTATTTGCTGTGGGATGTTGACTGATTGAAAGGGGGTCTCACTGTGCTGCGGGCTGGCATGGCACTCCTGGGCCCCTGCCATTCTGCCTCAGCCTCCTGGGTGGCTGGGACTACAGGCAAGCACCACCACGCCCTGCTAGATCATGTAGTCTCTGAGTTTACAGTTATGAGACTTTTCAGGCCTCCTGAGAGTCACACCTCCACCATGCGACCAGCGCACTGGTTTCATTAAAGAGGTTYGTGGCATAAAAGTTAACTAGTGAGATCAAAATAAACACACAGACTCAATTACCTTTTTCTATGACCAGGTCCAAGACGGCTCTCACCTCTCTGG